TCTGAGTAGAAGGTGAACACTTAAGAGCAGTTTCCAGCTGCCAAGGAAGTGTTAACTGTGGACAGCTGTTTGTTAGCAGAGACTCTGCCTGTGGGGCTTACATTAACATTAAATGCTGCAGGTATTATAATGTATTTTGCTTAATCCTCATTGTATTCCCTGGATTTTGGGGAATACACATGGTTTTGCCACCGGTTCACAGCCGCTGAAGACTCTTTACTTCTTAGGAAAATACTCAAACTTTTTATGGATGTTTTGCAAACTTTTTAGAACCATTGTATGGGTGCCAGAATGGAATTTAAGTGTTGAGACGGATTACCACAAAATTGGAGTGATGCCACTTGGTGGCAGCAAAATGTGATAAGTCAAAAAGTATTTGATGGATCTCTTAAATGCTTCAGAAAAAAACATTATACGGATGAATAGTCACCTTTGTCAGTGCCATCACTAGATACCCTGTTCACAAGGTTAAGACAGTTAACTGTTATTACTCTATTTGCTCCATTTAATCATTGATGAATCTTATTGTCACTTGAGGAAAACAATATGTGGATAAAAATCTATATTTGACCAAAACCCAAGTCACCCAAAAATTGGAATTGCAGTGACAATCAAAAATGGAGCCTGTAGCCGCCATCTGCTGAACCCGGCCATCAAATCTTATTCCCTGGATCTTTTTGCAAGCCTCTCAGGAACCTCGTTACAGGTCTGATTCTCACTGTGGAGCGTGAGCCGATTTCCATGCGGCACAGTGTGAAAAGATAACGTGGATCCCTGTCAACTCACACCTCCAGCAGAACTTCTCTTGCTTCTCGAGGGAGGTTGGAAACATTAAGCCTGAATGGGCAATGTTCTGAGCCTCCCTTGCCGAGGCGGCTGTGTGGAGCTGTGGCCGTTAGGTCGTTGGTGCCTGTCATGGTGTTACGATGTTTCGTATCATGCAGGTTTGCAGTGTCGTTACCTCCTTAGTTTGAACTGGGAAACATCTGCATCGTACTTGCATAGTTCCATAGTTTACATGCATATTTTGGGAAACATACCCTTGGTCATGGAAAATTGGACCAGCTCTTCACCCTCATAAGGATACTAGAGGGTTTATGGGAGTTTGCCCAACCAGTCAGCATGTGTTTTGAGGCCTTGGAAAAGGCACACCGCCATGTCCCTCAGGGAGGTACTGTAGGGCAGCGATTCTCAACCCACGGGGTTGCGACCCAAGTTCTGAAAGGGTCACAGAGTCGGAAATGTAAGCATTTTAAAACCAGCAAATCATTTTCACTTATTAGGGATTATGTCCATTTAGTATTTCGTGGGAATGTTAAAGTATATTGTGCACATGATTTAATACATTGTGCCCACCTTAACAAAAATCCCTCCAGGGTTCTGTCTATAATATTAGTGTTCTGTCACACTTCTAACTCTCATGTCATGGAAATACTGGCCGTAATGTCAATGAGAAATAAATATAAGTACCATGTTGGCCGAAAATTAACATTTTTAGTTTTTTTATATGTCTGAAAAGTGGTATCTCCTTATTCGGGGCCGAGAGAAAAGGTACTATATGGCGCCAAATACAGTATTTTCTAAGGAATGTTTTAACTTCCCATAATATATTTGTCATATGATTTCTTGCATGAGCGTGAGAGTCACGCCAGATGCGTGAGTTGGCGATCCCGGCAATGCATGTGTTTAGCGTGTAGCCCTGAGTGTCGTGTACATTGTTGGCTTCCCTGGCTGTGCTGCTGCTAATATTATACCAATAGTGGTTGTTAGTAAAGATGGTAAGTTTTCCAAAAAAAAATAGTAGCCAAAAAGTAGGGGGGTGGTCATATTCAAGCCAATACGTTACATACTGTAGACGCATACATATGGGCGCACAGTTTTCTGAATTTTGTTGTATTTGACTGATAAGAATGTATAGGTGTGACACTGCAGAAGAGCAGGGCTTCAGTGTGCTGGGCATCTGCAAAGATGCTGCATAAGCTGACTAAATGCCAGCATTAAGTATTAACGACCCCCTGGTCCTTAATCCCTAGTTACTTATGTGAGCATGCGTTTGGGGTAGGGGGGAGCTATATCTGACATGGTAGCTGAAGCGGTTTCCGTTTTGCCTCATACATCCAGAATTAGGGGTCTCTGCTCGCTGTGTGTGGAGTTTGCATGATCTCTCAGAATCGCGTGAGATTCTTCTTCTTGTCCAATGACATGCCGATAGGGTCGGTGACGTCGCCGAGTCTGAGCTTGTATGTGCCCTGCAGTGGGCTGGCATCCAAATTTGCAGTGAGGGGGAAAATGAAACTCACGTCAGACCCAAGACTCAGGAGCACAGCTTACAAAATATGTACATTAAAGTGCCAGCATTGGTTAGGATTATTGTTGTTGTATGTTTACATACTGTAAGTCACAAAATCATTCAATATTAGGCTTTTTATGGAGTTTATTCCACCAGATCATTTTATTTTTATAAATTAAAGTCTAGCGATGATGCGACTCTTTTAGTCAGGGGCCAGTTCAGTCTTGCCCACAGAATACAGCGATGAAGTAATCTGCAAAGCAGTAATATACCTACCAAATTCCACTATGATAAACTGTATATATAATCCAAGTTTGAACAGAGCTTGTGATTTTGCCCACACTATTCCTTGACAGAGACTTCTTGACTTAGGTTGTATTTTACACAGGTTTCTCAGAACCTCAACATGTAAACAAGGCAGCAACGTGTCTCTAAAAATAGGCAGTTGTGTGAGAGTGTGTTTGCGTTCCTGCTTCTACATATCAGCTGCCCATTGATTTATCTGTCAGCCATCTCTGATTCTCAGGCTCTGCTTCACTTATCAATATCCATCATCCAGCTTTTGTTGCTCTTCCTGCAATATGCACATCGTGTTCTGTACTAGACTTACCTGCCACTAGTTTCTGCTTTCAGCAGTTTCAAAGGTCCTTGCATGGTTTAACCAAAAATCAACTCATTTGGGCTACAACCGCGAGTCCCCTGATAAGAATCTCTTGCCGCAGACAATAGCGGAATCCCCTCATACAATTTATCATTAGAGTATGAACATTACATATGGATATTTTCTAGGCCTCCCTGTGACTCAGTGATAGGTGCTGGAAACCTCTGGTGTCTAAACTTGCTGGTTGGTTGACCACACCAAACCAACTTGGAAGTTTTGCAGAAGTGCTGGGAAAAGAGTTAATAGTAGCAGAGTAGATATTTAGCAGACGGAATTATTTTGTACTTCAAGTTTAATGCATTAATGGATATGTTTTTGCTTGCATATATCCATATTTGTTCATCGGAAAATTCAAAATATTTCTGTCCCATATCGCCGATGTTAGCGGTGAAACATACTGTTTTTTTTTTTATTCTGAGGAAAATGAAAGATCGATCTGCTGGCCAGATTTAATAATGAGTTATAAATATGTCGCGTGTTGTATAAATTTAATATAAATCAAAGGCTGTGTCCCATTTTGATTGCTATCGATTCCACTCAGTAAAAAAACAATTTGCTTGTCCTTTGTTTTGGCAATGCGGTGTAGTTTGTAATGAAATTACAAGTGTGAAGTTTAACGTTCGAGCTTTTTTGCATCTCCTATGATTATTTAGCGTAAAGGTCACAGTAAAACACCCAAAAGTGACCAGGAGCAGCAAAAGTTCCCGGTCGAGACGGACCAGTGGCTCAGAGTCAGGAACTAGGTTCCTCAGCGGCAGTTAATGTTGTTATGGGGTAAGATGTATGTTATGCTGGGGGAAAAATTATAACAACCAAATATCATTCATCTATTTCATGTGGTGTTGATGTGAAATGTGACCACACTTTTGGTGTTTATTAATCTGTTATTCTTAAGGAATAAAAAAGGACATTGTGTGCCCTAATAGCTAGTATGCTACCTTTCAGCTACCTTTAGCTGAAATAACCTCAATGAAACATTTCCCATAACCATCTACCAGTGTCTGACATTGAATAGCAGAAAGTTTTCCCCACTCCTCAATGCAAAATTCTTTTAGTTGTATAATGCTTGAGGTGTTTATGTGCACAGCCTGTTTCAAATCATCTTATAGCATCTCAATAGAATTAAGATCTGAGCTTAGACTTGGCCATTCCAGAACTCTGTTATCCTTCTGTTGAGCCATTCCTTGGTGGATTTACTGGTGTTGGGTCACTGTCATGTTGCATGGTCCACCTCCGCTTCAATTTTTGGACAGATGGTCTCACATTTTCCTCAAGCACCCTCTGATAAAATGAAGAACTCATATGGATTCTGTAATGGTGAGCTGACCAGGCGCTCCCACAGAAAAGCAGCCCCAAACCACGACATTTTCACCCCCATCTTCTCTGTTGGTATGAGGCTCTTTTGCTCAAATGCTCTCTTTGGTTTACAATAAACATGTCCTCTGTTACTGTGTCCATATAAGTTTAGATTCACCTTTCCAATGCACATTGCTCCTCAAGTCTTGGTCTTTGTCTAGGTGTTCTTTGGAACTTCAATCTTGCCCCCCCCCCCCTTTTTCACAGCTAGGGTTTCCTCCTTGCACATCTCCCATAAATGTCTCTCTTTCTGATGGTCGATGTTTGTACTTAGACATCAACTGTGGCAAGAGCTTTTTGGAAACTTCTTTTAAGTATCTTGCATTTTGCTGTTGGGATGAACTTGCTAGGATGGCCTGACCTGGCCTTGGTGGGAGTTTTTAAATGTTCTGCACTTGTGAATTATTTTCTGGACAGTGGAATTGCCAACTTCAGATTCTTTTGAGATTTCTTTATATCCCTTCCTAGACTCGTATACATCTACAATCTTCTTTCTGATAGCCACAGAGAGCTCTTTGGGGAAAGGGAAAGTGATTAGTTGTCATACCATAGCACAGTGTTTCCCAGCCCAGTCCGCGGGGAACCCCGGACAGTCCACGTTTTTGCTTCCTCTCAGTTCCCAGCACACCTGTATCAGATATTGGATGTTCCTGATTGGCTGGGGGCTGGGAGGGAGCAAAAACTTGGACTGTCTGGGATTCCCTGAGGACTGGGTTGGGAAACACTGCCATAGCACCCAGTGCACAACAGCAAAATGTGTCCTGCATTTAACCCTCATGTCACATCGTGGCATGGCAGGGGCGGCTAATTCAGCGCTTAGGGAGCAGTGCTTGGGGATGGTATCTTGCTCAGGGTACTTCAGTGGTACTTTGATAGTTGGGGATTAAACCCAGCAATCTTAATTTCAAGTGCACATCTCTAACTGCTAAACCGCTAAACCACTCACCATGGAGAAACCGCTAACTTTAAGCAAACCAAACTGAATGTCTGAGGTTTAAATAAGACCGGCTCCTCCAAATTACTGTAATGATGTTCTGATCATTTGTACTGTTGTGGGGCACTTGCATCTAATTCTAGGCATATTAAGTAGTAATGAATATGTGGGTGTCCTAATTTTTTCCTCACAAGAAATTACATTTCTATTACATTTTACAAATCATTTTTAAAAGATATTTCTTCAGTGTTATTTGTTTAGTTATATTACCTTAAATCTCTCAGTATTGTTAAAATGAAGATCACATGTCCATATGTTAAATAAAGACAGGTTTCTATGGGGGTGTCCTGATTGTTTTCATGTGACTGTATACAGTATATTGTCCAATGGGATAGTTTGTCTGAACACTAAGCATGCAATAGCAATAGTAAATGACTTAACTATGCTGAAAACTAATTGATTACAATTTTAATTATCTGAACCATGTGGGGATTAAATTTACTGTAGAAATGGCTCCAGACAAACAACATATATCAGAACAGTCATATCTGGAATTCAGTATGTGTTTGACTACTTTTGAATTTTTCAGACATTTTGTGGTGTGGCAGTAGAAAATACGCTTAAGTCCTAGAAGATGAAATGTTATAACTACCTTAGTGGCTCAGCTTTATCTGAATGATCAGACAAAATGCAGAGAAAGTGATTGACCAATATTTGCATATATTGACAGGTTCACTGGAAGCAGCACAATGACTGATGGCGACTATGATTATCTAATTAAGCTCCTAGCTCTGGGAGATTCTGGTGTTGGTAAGACAACCTTCCTGTACAGATACACAGACAACAAGTTTAACCCAAAGTTCATCACGACAGTTGGAATAGACTTCAGGGAAAAACGGGTGGTGAGTACTCTTTAATTTCTCCTTGTAAATACTACACTGTTGTGTAGGACAACTAAAAATGCAAAACGTGTATTGATTGCCATTTGCATTGTATGTCCAGAAGGTGTCACTGTAAAATGGCAAAGTATTGTTTTCTTATTCAGATCATTTTTATTCTAAAAAGCTCTCTGTATTTGCACTTTTAGTTTTGATTTAAAATGGTTCTCAAGGTTTACTTTTTCTCCACCAAATGCATTTTGTACTGGGGTTTTTTTAAATTAAATTTTAATTTTATTTTATTTTGAACCATGGTACATACTTCATGTGGCCAATGTTGTAGCATTAAGAATTGCCTTTCTGGCCAGTGCCAGTTGTCTATGGAGAGCATGGCTCTGTGCTTGATTTTATACACCAGTTAGTAGTGGATGCAGCTGAACCCATCAGTTAGAAGGGTTAACATCTATCTCTTAGTACTTACCCTGGATAGAGTAAGAGAGAAGATTTAAATGGTTTTATTTAGCTATAATTATTATTAACATTATAACGCTTTTGGTTCAGTTTATAATATATCATGAATTAAAAACAAACAAAAATTGGCAAAGGAAATTAGCGGTAATGTTTATAGAACATGCATTTATTGCACTAAATTTTACTGAATGTGAGTGAGAGTGAGCGTGCACACTCTGCTATGCAGTTTGATATACAGCATAAGGTAAAGTGATCATGGTGTCCCATCTAGGATGTTCAATCACCTTGGGGCCCTGTGCTTCTTGGGAAAGGCTCCACTTTACTGGATTAATACTAGAAATATTGATACTGAGAAATTATTTGCTCACTATCCATGATACAATTGTCAAAATATTGAAAAGCACCAGTTTAGTGTGGAACATCCAATTTCAAGATCTGATATAGTTTGCATCTGTTGTATCTGTTATTGCATATGCATATATAACTATAATTGGCTATACTGGTTTTATTTAGAAGCAACAAATAGTGTCCTCAATGGTTCAAAATTCTTTGTTTTGCCAATCTGTTTCAGGTTTACACTGCAACAAGCCCCTGTGGAACGACAGGGAAGACCTTTAAAGTGCACCTGCAACTCTGGGACACCGCAGGACAAGAGAGGTATATGCTGCTTTGCTGTCCGTGATGTCATCAATGATACGGAGTTCACCTCTTTTTCTCCTCACAGGTCACACATTGCTGTGGTATTAAAGGACTTAAGACAGATTTTTATATGCATGTATAGGATAGTGGAAATCTGAATTCAGTGTTGTGGCCAGGACTAAATTGTGTGGTCATTGGGGGGGGGGGGGACAAAGCTATTATAGTTTTTACTAGTTTTGTAGATTATTCAATCTACGAATAAATACTCATGTTTGTAGGTCCAAATGTATATCTGCAGTGGTCTTGCCTCAGATTTTCTACTTGAATTTTTTTTTTTCCCCTCTTTGCCATACTGCATGTTTTTTTCCAGTTATTCACATCCACCAGTTTTGTCTGCTGCTTCAGTCCATGTATCTTAAATAAAACTCGTTCCCTGGGCCCAGCCCTGTGTCATGTGTTTTTGTTTGTCATGCAAATATCTCAAGAAGCAAGTCGCAACCCAAAGAGCCCTGCCACGTCCTGAGCAAGACTCTGCGTTTTGCATATTCTCAGATATGCTTCCTCATTGTCACCCCATCACATCACATTCATCTCTAACTAAATTCATCTCAACATTTTTTTTTTCCTCATTAAGAATTATTTAAATTCTTCATGCCATTTCATCCGACTACTCAAACTGGGAGCATGCCATTGATCAATATACAGGTATATGCTTTGTGACAGTACAGGTATCCCTCCGCTTTGCGAATGTTTGTTTGCACCTCCTTGTTTTTACAAACGACCTGCATTAGCACCCGTTTTCTCTTACTGAAGAGGATTTTTGCTTTTACAAAAAAAGAGAAAGGTGGAAAATAGCCTGCCGATTGTGAGCGAGCCAATTATACTGTCATGTGTTGCATAATGATATTTTAATCAACGACGGACTGCATATATGACGGTGGTTCCATATAAGAATAATGGAGCATAAAAATTCCTATCGCCTAACAATGGTGTAGCCTCTGTAACGTCACAGCACAATGCATTACTCGCGTGTTTGTGGTGATGTTGGTGTAAACAAACTGACTGCGCTCCCAGTCATAAAAAAAAAATTGCCCATACAATTGTGTACAGCACATAATACATAAGCCAGTAAAATAGTTATTACTATTATGTATTTAGTATACTCTACTTTTTATTATTTAAGCTGTACCATATAGCCTAGGTGTGTAGTATACCATCTCTTTGTGTAAATACACTTGATGATTTTCACCCAGTGACTCATTTCTCAGAACGTATCCCCATTAAGTAATGCATGACTGCATTTGCATTTTACTAGTATTGTCACCCACTTGTATTGTACTTGTTTTCATTATTTTGCATTATGTTGCAATTCTTGTATTTTATTACTGAAGCATTTCTCATAATGTGTCCCTGTCATTAAGCGACATATGACTGTCTTGATTCTGGTAAGTGAAACTACAATGTACAGTACACACAAAAATGTATATCTATGAAGTGTATCAACTTTATGTAGGCTGTGTATCATCATTCCTGCTTTTGCTGCATGTAAGTTTTATTTTAGGTTTTATGTGTTTATGATTTGGTAGGTTAATATTTCACTCTGGGGAAAACTCAATTTTTCCCTATATAAATGAATAGTAATTCTTTCTTCGCTTTACACCATTTTGACTTATGACAGCTTTTATAGGAATGTTCTATTGAATGCCTTAGGTTAGGAAAGGAAAACCTTTTATTTGTACCTGTTTGATCTAAATGAATATTCTACTGGGCCACTGGCAATCATAGTGATTGGCTGGCATTAGTGGATCTGGATCGAATGGCATTGGTTTGTACGGAGAATATAAAAGCATGCGTCATTTCGAAGTGGTTTTTCATTCTCCCATTAAATAATTAGCTTTAAAAAACACTGGAATTACTCATCTGATGCACAGATTTCCTTATCATTAGAGTCCAAGAAAAAAAAAAAAAAAAAAATTCTTGGTGTGGTTCAGACGGGAGACCATCCTGTGGTCCGCGCGGATTCTGATGCCCCTGCTGTAAAAATGGTTCGGTCCTTCGGATGAGACATAACATCAAGGTCCTGAATGATCTCTGGGCATCTTTAGAAAGCGTATGGGTGGTACCCTGATGTTCTTGCTAAAATCGGCCACTGTGGCCCTTTCATATCTAACCCCCAAATCATCCCCTATACCTAATTCACCAGTTATCTCCTGCCCCTTCACCACCTTAGCTGCTGTGTGGTAAGTGCACTGCACTGGTGCAGAATTTCTGCAGTGGCATTATCCTGGTGGGGGCTGCACAGTGACGGTGGTTTACCTGTCTCCCCCATTGCTTCTATGAAGTACTTTGGGTGCCTTGAAAACTGTTAATAACTAACATTTGTTCATTATTTTCATGCACCTTGAGTAGTCGATTTACAAAGTTTGGTTTTATTTCCATTGATTTTCTTGATAAAGTAACAACCACCCCAAGGAAATCCATGTCTAGAAGGAAGAGTCCTCTCTCCCTAAAACAGATGGTGTTAGACTTCTTTCTATGCAAGTGGAACAGTTTCATGTCACGATAAAGCACCTAATTTCTCCAGTCCTTTGTACTATCTAAGACAAACCCAAACTGTGGCGTTATGAGCTATGAATATGTTAATCTTTCCTGGGGAGAATTTGTAGGAATCTGTAATGTCATCAGATGAGGATCTTTTTCAAACTTTGCAGAGGCATTGTATGGGTGATAAACTGGAACAGATAAAATTTTGGGACCAATTGCCCCAAAAGCGAAGCAGTGACAAAGTTTTGTCACCTGATACCATTAAGACAAAGTCAAAAACTATTTGATGGATCTTTTTCAAATTTTGCAGAAGCATTGAATGGGTGATTAACTGGAACAGATTATATATACAGTATATATATAATACCGGTATATAATTTTTTTTCTTCTCGAAGCATTATCAGTTATGTGATTGTCATCTACAGAAAATAAAATTATTTTTTGCAAAGTTGCAATTAGTTTGTGTTTTTTGCATACTTTTCTTTAGTACAACTTGCAGATTTTATCCAAAGTACAATCCACATTACTTAAAAGCTTTTATTTACCAATCTTTGATTCTTGTATCACTTACTTTTCAGTAACTTCAAGTAAACATTATTTGTGTTGTATTTATATGATGCAACCAATATAAAATAATTGAAATACATACAGTCATTCAAACTTCAACACTTGTAAGTAGGATGTCATGGTGCTGTTGTCTGACACCCCAAATTTGGGGATTTGAATCCCATCACTGTTCTGTGTGTGTGGAGTTTACATGTTCTTTCCATGTTCTGTGGATGTTTTCCAGAAGACGTTGCTTACGCTTCTACAATGGGCCCTAGTGCGTGTGTGTGTGTGTGTGTGTGTGTGTGTGACCTGTGATGGACTAGAATTCCGCCCAGGATGTACCCCAGACTTGTGCCCTGTGCTGCTTGGGACGGGCTCCAGGTGATCCCGAGCAGGACAAAAAGACTGATGAGTGGGTGATTTTTCGGTTTGGATGGCGAAGAGGCTCCGCACGCAGCAGCTACTTCATACCTTTGGGGGGGGGGTCAACAATTACTCTTGCTCTGTATTACGTGAAATTTCTCTGGATCCTCTGCTTTACTCCCAAGGTTTCAAAAGGAATATTTAGGTAAATTTGTGCCTCTAAATTACCTCGTGTGTGACTGTGTGTGTATTTGCCATTGCCCTGGTTTGTGCCCTATGCTGCTGGGTACCGGCTCCTCTAGTCCCTCCACAGAGGTAGTATACATTCCTAAGGCTCACAGAAGTGTTGTTTCATATAACCCAGTGTTTCCCAATCCAGTCCATGTTTTTGCTGCCACTCAGGTCCCTGCCAGACAGTCTACATTTTTTCTGCCTTTGAACATCGTCTTAACTTAGGAACAGAAGCGTCTCAAATTGTCGACAGAGTACATCTGGAATTCTGTGGTTGCTGCATGTGTATGTATCTTCTTCAAAATGAGTGACAGTGTCAGCCCAAAATTGAAGCAGTGCCACGCAGGGATAATAAAAAAAGGGCAGTTTCAGACACTTGATTCCATTAGCATGGTAACTCAAAAAGTATTTGACAGATCTTTTTCAACTTTTGCATGTTGTAAGAGTGAAGGTCTGGATTAGGGCTGTCACATATCAATAACCAAGTAATCTACAGATTAATCTGATGATTCACTGAATAATTGTTCATAATATAATACAACTTTAACTATATATATAGCTCCACTGTACTGCTAGGCTTGTGCGATGTTAATATCAACACGGTATGTCATGCACATGCAATTGTCCCATTGCAAGGACTGCAGTAGTATGCTGGTTTCAAACCATTAATAACTTGTGCTAAAACTTTTTTTTTTTTTTTTACTTATAGGAAACTACATTTACCAAGCTCTGCAATTTAAATTATGGTTTCTTTTCAGCCTTATCTAGTATAGGTTTAAAGAATCAAGTCTAAAGTTTACCTCCTCTTTTTTTTCATGAGATCGGCATGCGATCTCCAAGACAAACACATCATTTTCGTCCTTTCTGTTGGACTTTTTCACAAACTGTATGGTGATTTTGTGAGAAATTAAACAAAAAAAAATTAATAAAGAGGAGAAAAGTGAACAAAAACCGGTCACGAAAAGACATTCGTGTTCCAGTGTATAGAAATATTTTGTATTTATAGTGACAATAATGAGCAAAAGCAAGTGATTCTTTGGCACTGCTTTGTGTCTGTTGGCAGAACTCAACTTGTCAGCACCAGTAACTTATCTGACAGATTATGTTGTTAGATAAAAATTAACTATATACCTTTAACTTAACTTCTAAATATTGCAATGTGACCTTTTTCTTCAGCCCTACTCAAAACACAATACATTAACAAGAAATAATTAATGTTAATTGGTTATTATGCACCATATTGTGTGGGCCTAACATGATGTGGCTAATCTTCATTTTAGCAGTGATTATTTTGACATACAGGAATCATAATAAGCAAGATAATTAAACGTGATGACAAAGACAGGCTAGGCTACTCCAAGAGGCTAAGTGGCACGTACTGTATCTATGGCTAGCCTCTCATTACTGGATGAGTCCATCAAATCTGATTGTCTTCTTTTAAGATATATTTGCATTGCAGCCGTGCTGTGCTGATATTTAAGTTCTGCTTTGCAGTACTGACACACAACTGCATTCTCATTCACTTTTAATGTGAAGTGCTTCTGCACAAATGATGCTTTCACTCTTTATTTGGACACTCATCCTGCATGCACAATTTTGAATTGATGCTTTTTAATAATTGAGTAATTGAGTTTAATCGAGTCATCATGACCTGTTCAAATTTTGAGACAAATTGCACCAAAATTGAAGCGACGTCATTATTAACAGCAAAGACATGGCTGAATGAAATAACAGGCTTAACCTTGAGAGTAGGATAACTCCGTTTGTAGTTATTACTCTGTTTGATCTTTGGTAGATCTTATTACTTTGCAAAAACATTGTAGGGATAAGTGGAACTGCAATGACAGAGCAGCTGAGAGCAGAAATGGTGCTTGCAGCCACCTGCCATCTAAACTTATTTCATGGATCTTTCTATGAACTTCCCAGGAACATTGTAGGTCGTGACATGATTTTCTGAATGTTCTAATTTTATCCATAGCAGCTCCAAAATTTATTTTGGGAGATTTTTATTGTGTTACTTTTTTAAGACATTGGTAGAGTGTGTAAGAGAGGCATGTAATAATATTTTCTTTTGACTGCGCTATTTTAATTCACCGAAATTTGTCACTGAAAGTGCTCCTGGGTCAGCAGATAAATGGCTTTGCCGTGCCCTCGGAGCCCAAGCTTCGTTCTCAACTTTGTATATATGTGTCTGTGTCTGGAAATGTCTGAAAAGGAAAGTGATTTATCATGTTTAATCATTTGAAACATGAGTTCAGCTATGAGGCAAGATAAAATCACTTAGTCATCAATATTCCTTGTGACTAAGGAACTTGTGAACTCCAGTTGAAAGAGCCAAGAGTTGAACATTCTTTGATTTGTGAATACCGGACTTGCTAATTTTAGATAATCCCTTGTAAATACTTATATGAACATTTTTTTGTTGTTTTTTTTGCCATCCGTCCTGTGTATTGCATGATTGCCCTATATTGAAAAATAAAATGTTTTTGTTCTAATATGTGATGCGATTTGACTAGTGTATTCTGAGCAGTTAAGCTGAAATATGTTTCAGTAGTGCATTGATAGCTGTCATGTAGCTCAACAGAGAGATCCTTGTGCTAACGTTACAGAGCTTGGGGGTTCAAATCTCATAATGCATTCAAAGGCCGGACTAAGTGGCAGGGCTGTATAATGCTGAAGTTTCTGACAGCACCACATCTAGCTAGTTGGTTTTCACATATCCAGTTAATTCTTCCAGTGCATCTAGAAATTGTATAGGTTGGGGAGTGTGGAAGGAATAAGGATTACATGGCAAAGCGGATGATGGGGGTGGCCGGGGAATACATGGCTGCTGGTCATACAGCCCCCTTTGATGTAGGAAATGATTTGTGATAAAATAACTTGACTTCATTTCTGAATCAGCTTTTTTTTTTTTGTCTGCTTGACGCAAATGGAGAACCATTTTAAGAATGATACATTAATAAATTACTGCACCGAGCCTTCTCACCCTCATTAAATTAATAAATGGCTTATTAGATGGATTTTTTAGTACAAACCTGAAAACATGTATTGGAAACAGTTGAAGTAATGTAAATGAACAGTTTTTAATGACACACTTTTGAGCAATATTGTTACTTTTCTTGTTTTCCAGATTCAGGAGTCTCACAACTGCGTTCTTCAGGGATGCAATGGGGTTCCTGCTCATGTTTGATCTCACCAGCCAACAGAGCTTTCTGAATGTCAGGAACTGGATGAGTAAGTGCCAGCACCCAATGTCTAGGTGCCGAATATTTTAATTTGGTACTTTTTCAGGTAAAAAAAAAAAAAAAAAGATTGTCATGAATGATTATTCCATGATTAATAGTCTCCCATATCCAGGGGTGTATTGGAGGGTAAATGGACATAAAGATTGTACACCCCGCGCCCCCCCCCCCCCCCCCCAAAAAATTGCCCCCCCCCCCCCCCCCCCCCCCCGACTCCTGCCCCCCCCATTCACTCCTTAACAATGCAGCCAATGCTTAAGAGCAAACAAATTAATGACCTGTCCTGCAGCGTGCATGCGGAGTAATGGACGTTAGACAACGTTTGGCAAGAATCTCAAACCATCCCAAAAAAAACACGGATACAGAGTGAAAATGGTAAACCAACTAAGTGCCTCCTTATTTTTCGGTTAACAAGCTAGCATTAGTTGTCATCTAGCATTGTAGCCTGCAAACTGATGTTGCTTGCAATAAAGTTAGCTGGCTAATAGACGTAACATTATAATGGGCAACCTATCTGAATCAGTGCAAATGTATTTCCATTTGTGCTGGCTGGACATGAACTTATCCATTTCCACACTGAATGCAATTTGTGTACAGAGAAGGAGGCAGACAAACAGGGACAGAGACAGGAGGAGTTGGAGACTGAGCGGTGCAGTGAAGACACAGAAAGGTTCTTGGCGGAAGACACAAAATTTAAATGTAGCCTTAAAACATATCCACTTATCCTTAAAACAGAATGTGCTTCAGCCATATTCAAAATATCACAATGTTAGCCCAATTATAGATTGTATAAAGCAGTGTGATGCGATAGTTAACGTCGCTTTCATTGCAATGTTGAGGGCCCGACGTCCTCTAGTGGGACCTCTGCTCACGGCCCAACACCATGTAGCTCAATTGACATTCATCAGAGAACACCAGAATTGGCAGGTATGCCTTTGGCGACCTAATCTCTTCAGAGATAAGACCAGGTTCACACTGAGCACATGGGTAGATGTGAAAGAGTCTGGAGACTTAAATCTCCTTTTGTGAGATTTAAGACTATTTACCTTCTGCCACATTGCCAAGTAAATGAGAAGGTAAATTTCAATCATTTTTAAAATCTAGTAATTGTGCGCCACTGAGCTCTGCACTCAGTGGTACAGAGACACATTGCTTTGCTCATGAATTTGGTAACTAAACTAACCACCCACTTCTCATCAGGGCATTTATAGATATAGCCAAATTTACAGGTACCTTTACAAAAAAAAAAAAAAAAAAAAAAATATCACTGACCTAAGTTGAAACTGATGAAAGTATCCAACATTCTTTACTTCACATTTAATAGAACAGCAATTTTGCTTTTCATTTAACATAATGAAACAAAAATATTTGAACCTATTTCATATCACAGCCTTTACCGGCATTTTCTGTAGCTCTGAATGAGATTCCTACACTTCTCACCTGGTAGTTCGGCCCACTTTCCTTGAGCAAACTGTTCCACTTCAGGTTTGATAGGTGCTCCTTCTCCTGGCTGAGTTTCAGCTTTTTCCACAGATCTTCAGTGGGTTTCAGATCGAAACTGATAGCAGACCACTTCAGAACAGCACGATTTTTCCTGGTTAGTGGTATGAGAGACACCCGAAGGCACTGAGCCTTTGTTCCTGTCTTTCAGCATCTTTCTATGTTTCTTATAGTGTCTTCTGTCTCTAGAAGGTATGTTTGCAAGAATCTACAGAAGCTGTACCAAAGTCGCTTCACTCATAGTGGCCAGCAGCCCATTTCATTTGTTTTATAAAATGCTCTATTGAGCCTCAAATCACTACCTCCAAGTTGGCTTCAGTAAACCTTGCTTTTAACATTTTGTTAAATTGTTTTGCTACTGTTACTTGATTTAGCATTGTTTCAGATCTACCTTTTGGTAGTGCACATTGTCTACCACTATATTTCTTAAGGCACAATTTTTTAAAATAAGTGCCAGAGTTTTCCTTTGAAGGGTTGAATGAATAATTTTCAGCTTCCCCATTTTCTCAAACTAGATTTCTTGTTTCCCCTTGACAAATCAACTGTGACGTGACAAATGTATGTTTTTTGGAATAAAATTCCCCTTTGTGTGTGTCTGTGACTTGCTCCTTTCCTCTAGGGACTCTGGTTTATTCCCGTAGTTCAAAGACACGTAGCTGGACTGACTGGCATCTAAAATGCTTATAATGGGTGACTGTGTGCAGGAGTGCTGTAAATAGGGTCAATTCAGGAGGCCCAGTCATGGATAGGATCCCCGGAAGATACCAGCACTGGGGTGGGGGTCCAGTATTTCTCTATTTTTGCACAGTTACTGTGAAACTTCACATTTGTCCTGCTAAAATAGAGAAAAATCTATCCTGTTCACAAATGGGTTCATTTTGATGGTATCGACATCCCAGTGACGCAAATGCTGTCATTAAGTTGTGTAGTTCAAACTACAGACGTCAAACTGTAGTTAAATGCTTAGTTCCAGGTCATCGATGGTGGAAAATGCGGTCAAAGGAAGGTAGTCCATGTAAGTAAGGTGAAAATATGAAATAATCTTGTTGTACAAACATCTTTCATGTGAAGTGCTTTGAAAATGTAGTTGTAAGACTACTTTTTATGTACTTCTCAGTTCATGGGTATGGTATGATTGAAGAGAATGCTGTTTACCTACCTTGTTTGTGCTATATGGTAGAATTCATCACATAGATAAATATATATTTAGGACTGCACGATTATGACATCACTTGGTGTGATATTTATAAAACCAAAAAAAGATGAAATTACCCGAAATATACTATTTCCAAATAGTACTTATCTAACAATAAAGTGTCTAAAAAGTTGGTTGTGTTGCTGCAACTGTCAACAGACGTACAGCAGCGCTAACAAATGTAAGATGCTTATTAAGTGCGCGTACATTGCGATTTATTATTCAGCGCTTATGTACATACAGTATTAAATAGAAAAAAACATGGGGAATGTGAATAAAGTACAGGCAAATTAATGGCTACAAATAATGAATCACTTCTTAATTACTGAGAGCTTTGTTGCAATATAAAATATATTTAAAAAAAAAGCACCAGTGCTTGGATCCAAACCCATGGCCGCATAGGCAAGAAGCTGATGTTCACACCCTCATTTCCACTCAGCTACTAATAAGCTACACGCTGAGTAGCGGATCAGGAATGTATATGTGTTAATAGTGTGGTTGAAATGGAAAAGAAAAAGACAAAACGTAATTACAGATAGAGCTGATTTCACTAAATGCATTGTAGCCAAATAGCATCATATAATATCATATTATTATTATTATGGCGCTATAGATTTTTCTGAGTTTTTAGTATTATTATTGCTGTTGTATGACTGACACAATAAATTAATAATGTGATATTGGCACAATTGTAGTATTTGTAAATAATATTACAAAGCTTGTGGGTTTTTACAAGGGACCAGCCGTGAGAGTCAGACCAATCACCTTTGCAGCCATTGTACGTCAAACTGCGGTGGTTCGAACTAGCATGGTTCAAACTACGGAGGTACTAACAAAGTACAATGGTTTTGGGAAACAGTCATACTTAGGATGTTAGCTAGTTTGAACTGACATAGCATTTACGCTGCAGCGTACTAACTTCCATCGTTGTATGGAGAACGCGCCCAGGTGGGGCTATACAGTGCTGGTAGATGAAGTGGCTACCCATTGGTTCTGTAAAGTGCTTTATGAATGTAACATTCATTCATCTTGTGTGATTTTGTTGCAGGCCAGCTCCAAGCGAATGCATACTGTGAAAATCCAGACATAGTATTAGTAGGAAATAAGGCAGACCTGGCTGATCAGAGAGAGGTGCAGGAGAAGCAGGCTAAAGAGCTAGCAGATAAATACGGGTAAGTGCAAGGTGATGCTATTCTTTGAAGAGCATTGACGGCTAATGTATAAAGACTGTACTGAAAACATGAAGCTCTGTGTTTTATGCAGAAATGACTCATAAGGTGTGATCTGATCTTCACCACAATGTCATAATAATAAACAGCAAACAAAGTCAATCTTATTGAACAAAAAATACATACAACATATTACACCGTCATATCTATTGAACAAATCGTTAAAACATTCAAAGCCGTAGCAGTTAGAGTACAGTGTGCCAATTAGTTTATGGGTAGGTTTCACCTACATTGCTGGTTTAAAAAAAACACACAAGTTTGGTTACCTGCTTTACACAACATAATACTGTTTTGTTGCAATATGGCCTGATCAAAAGATTTTGGAGTAGCTCGGACTAACAATTGTTGAAGCTGATAAGATGGGAAAGGACTTATAAACATTTAAAATGTACCCCTCACTTAAAAAGTGATACTTAAATTTCTGCTAATTACTGCAAAACCAGATGGAACTGTTAGAGTCAAAAGTCATTCAACTGAAATTAAACTGTCAGTACCATTTTCTCACAGAAATAAAAATGACCCTAATATCTGTGTAAATAGCTGGTTTGTTTGCACTGACATGTCAGAGGCGGCTTTTGTGCATGTTTTGTATAGGATCCCTTACTTTGAAACGAGCGCGGCGACAGGTTCCGAGGTGGATAAAGCCGTCATTACTCTCCTGGATCTGGTGATGAAGCGCATGGAACAGTGTGTGGACAAGCCAGCTCAGGAGACAGACAGTGGGGAAGGCATCAGCAAACTGGAAGCAATATCACCCAATGAGAAGAAATGTGCTTGTTAGCTTTTAGCTCCATATTGGTTTGCTGGGTTTCCCAAACCTGTACAGGCACCACAGCAGATGTATAGTTTGATTAGACACAAACACACATTCAGGCATGACAACAGGCTACTTCAATTAATAGTCCATTAGGATCTCTGATTATTGCTATATACAGTTGACCCTTCCACATCGCAGGTGTTAGGGGTGCAGGCCCCCCATGATTTGGGAAAAAAAAAAAACAAAGAAACAAAGATGACTGCGAGATGTCACGTGAAAGGCTGCTGTAAACGCACCTGGCGTTCTCCAAACCAACACTGTGCACGTATTTGATGCATTTATGAGTTACTAAACATTTTGATTGTCATCTGTAACTTTCGTTAAACACCAAAAAACAAATAATTCTTTATGCCGACCGTGCTATCGAAACCGTGATGGGGTAAGTTGTGATGCGGAAGGGTCAACTGTATAAATACACTTCCTTTGCTGCCTGACTTCATCTCTCCACAAACTACCATTGAATTAGCTTTAATGTTGTTATTTTCCCTTGTGATTTTTGAATGGTTATGAATTTTGATCATAATATGGAAAAGTGGAAAGAAAGTACTGAAGATAATCACAATGATATCTGGAAGGTTTGTCTGACACATGCAGTTAGTTGTTACTAAAATGTACCCTGTTTACCCTATCCAGTTATCCGAGCAAGCTACTGTAGTATAGCAACAAATAATTATCAATGGCTTTACGTTCTTTGTAGTTTTAAAAAAGTTCAGGCAGAAACCACATAGAGCTTTTCTCAGACATCTTAGATTTGGCAGTAGTTAGCTTTTGTGTATTTACAGTTGTTTAGAAAGGGTTACATTTATTTTTTATTCAACTCACTTTCTATTCAATGCTTTATTTTCATAAAAAATCACGATACATCTTCAATAAGAAATGTTCACATCCCAGTTCAAATTCAAATTGTAATTCAAACTTCATTTGTCACATTCCAATTGTACACCGTATGACTTGCAGTGAAATGTTATCTTTCAACACTCCGTGACTTAAACCTCAACATTGGGATACTTACATAGACCAGACAGGGTCAGATTGAAGAAAATTACACATAAGAGTCTAACAGTTGGGGGGGGGGGGGGGGTTACAGATGTCACAAAGTACAGATGTGCAGTTATAGTAGTATGTGCAAATAGCACAGTAGTGCAACAGCAAGCAGAGGTAGTTCTATAAGTAATTAGTAGATTTGTAATGGGGGAGGGTGTAGCGGCCAAGTCCAGTCCTAGTGTTGCCCTGGATAAGGATCCGAATGGCAGTGGGAAGAAGTTCCTCCTCATTCTCTCTGTGTTGCCCTTCAGGCAGCAGGAGCCCGTTGTTAGGGTGGCTGAGGTCTTTCACTGCATTGCTGGCCTGGGCTGCCAACTTTGGTCAGCTGGCTTGAGTGAGATTTTCAATTTGAGACAAATCTGCACACACTTTTACATGTAAGAGTTTTATTACCTTGTAAATAGTCTGTAGGGTTTGCATACTGCCCCGATGCTTTTGATGTAGTTAATTTTAGGTTTATAATGGAATAATGTAGATTTGTGTGACCGTGAGAGTCTGAAAGTATGGCACGCCCGATGTTTATGGGTTGGCAAACCCTGTCATATTTAACTGGAGATGTGGCACAGCTTTTTGTTTTCCAATTGCTAAACATTTTCAAAAACAGTTCCTGTTAATTTACAAATGAATGTAACTGTTGATTCTTTTCAATATCAAGTGACAGCACAAATAGTTATGCATAAATAATAAAAAAATATTTCATACTTTAATGCACAATCTAATACAGTTTTTCTGAATTACTAAAACACCAAACCTCATTCTTGGAACGAAACTGCCAATTGCCGAAACTCATTTATTGAATTAGTCACTTGTTTCGTGAAACATTAAGCAGTGCTCACCTAGTTAGACACAATGTGCAGATCTGAGTCACCCTTTTTGCAAAACTCTAAACACATCATTCATCAAAACACATTTTGCAATATGGTGAATATTGATCAAAATGGAAAACACAGGTCACAAAAATGAAGCACAGCTTGCACACAGTAATCATCATTTAAACACAATGACTCACAACTGTTCACATACGTTTCTAAACGGGTGTAGAAGCCAAACAGTGACTAGAACCTAGAATACATGCCGGATGACAGTATCATAGGTGAGTTGAATTTTGACGTCAAGGTACAAATGGGTCTCACAGAGGATTCTTCCTGCATCACCCAGCAAGCGGGAACATTTCCTGTGATGCAGTCAGTTCTCTGCCCTTTCCCAGCCATTAGACATGGTGATGAGACAGAATGAATATTCTTCCTTGATTCTGGCTTGGCAGTTGCTATGATATGCTGCTCATCTGGATTTTTTACTTTGCTCTTTACAGTAACCTTTTACATATCTGTTTAGTATAATAGCATGCAAAATTTTTGGTAGACGGCAGTTTTTTACTAAATTATTTTGGTTTCCAATTTTGCAGCAGAACATGCAGAAGATCACACCCAGAGTAAATATTTCTCTACATGCCAGCAACAGTTTTAGCTTGAGGTGTTTTCAGTGTTTTACTATAGTGCTCAGTCGTGTTTATGTACCGACTGGCTTGATGTGTGACCTGAATGCAGCGTTTGCTTTTGAGCAAAGATAATATAGTTTTGAGAAGATTGATTGATTGTTTGACGAGTCAAAGGTTTTGCGCATGTAGCTTGAATTTTATGGTTTTTATGTACTTGGTGTTTTGAGAAAAGGAAAGGAGGTTTTAGGAAATGCGTTTTAGCAATTCAGAAAAACTGTAATATAAATGAAAAATTGTGTATAACCCCATTATTCTCTTGAGTAGGATATTTAAAAATCAAATTGTGGATTGTGGATACTGTAAAGTCCATTTTAAAGCTTTGGAATATGGGTTTTCTTACTGTATAAAACCATGTATCATAACCAAAATTTGAGACAGCCTTTTCTGTATGCTGTATATCTTACTTTCCCTGTAACTATTATTTTAATTCTAGCAATATTATTTGCCCAGATTTTTTTTTACATTTATGGCATTTTTTCTGAGCTTTACTTAATTTATAATTATAACATCACTATCCAAAGATTCACTGTGGCCTCACACCTCCAAGGTTGTGGATGTTATGCATGTACAGTACTTGGCACTGTATGCTACCATTCAAAAGTTTGAGGTCACTTAAAAATTTCCTTGAAATTTTCATGAAAACATGCATGAAATGAGTTTGAATAGGAAACATAGCTCAATAAATAGGAAATAGTAATTGAAAAAGTTAGAAATAATCATTTTTTAAATTAAAATATTTGTATTCTTCAAACTTTGCTTTCATCAAAGAGTCCTCTATTTTCAGCAATTACAGCCTTGTAGACCTTGGGTATTCTAGATGTCAGTTTGTTGAGGTAATCTGATGAGATTTCACCCTGTGCTTCCTGGAGTATCTCCCACAAGTTGGATAGTCTTGATGGGTACTTCTTATGTACCATTCAGTCAAGCTGCTCCTATAACAGCTCAAAGCTTTATTGCTCCTTTTTCCTTGCAGTTCTGCCCAGAAGGTCGGCATCCCGGAGTTGCCTCTTCACCGTTATCATTGAGACTGGTCTTTTGCAGGTACTATTTAATGAAGCTGCCAGTTGAAGACCCATGAGGTGTGTGCTTCTCAAACTACACACTCTAACATATTTATCCTCTCGCTCAGTTGTGCACTGGGACCTCCCCCTCCTCTTTCTGTTGTGGTTAGAGCCAGTTTGTGTTGCTCTGTGAAGGGAGCAGTACTCAGCATTGTATGAGATCTTCAGTTTCCTGGCAATTTATCGCATGGAATAGCCTTTATTTCTCAGAGCAAGACTAGACTGACAAGTTTCGGAAGAATTTTCCTTGTTTCTGACCATTTAATAAACTAGCTTGCAATCAAACCCACAATTGCTGATGCTCCAGACACTCAACTATTCCAAAGAAGGCCAGTTTTATTGTTTCCTTAATCAGCACAATTTTCATCTGTGGCAACAAAATTGCAAAAGGGTTTTCTAATGATCCATTAACCTTTTAGCAAACACAACATTCCATTGGATCACAGGGCTAATTGTTGCTGATAATGGGCCTCTGTACACCTATGTAGATATTCAGTTAAAAATATAATAGTCATTTACAACATTAACAATGTCTACACAGTATTTCTGATCAATCTGGTGGTTTTTTAATGGACAAATAAACTTGCTATTTTTTCAAAAGCAAGGAAATTTCTAAGTGACCCCAAACTATTGAACAGTAGCGTGCATGCAGTTTGCGTGAAACGCCAGTCCAAGGTCATGTTGGTAGGTGTCTCAGCTGCCCTTTGTTCGTGGCCTGTAATGGTATTCTTCCGGAATATCTGCCACATTGTCCCATATACTTTCTCTCTTAGCTCTTGCTAAGCTGTTGTAGAAAATGGAACGGAATTCAGCTGACAGCATGGTTTGCATTTACTTAATTATTCTTAAGAACCACAGACATCAATTAAAAGTTGTGTAATCTTATATAAATATTATAAATATTATTATTATGCAGATTACACCACTTTCGTTTATTTGTTACTGTTATTAAGCACTTTAAAAATCAATTTAATGAGTCGCTTGAGGACTGATATGTGCCAGCAGTTGTTTAATTATGTGCACAGTCATGTGTGTGAACTTTTTCTGCTCGTCTGGTACCTTGCACAGCTCTCTGATATAGTGCTATCAATGATTACAGCTTTGCTGTAAAACATTTATGACGTAAGAATGAAAGTGCTACTAATGATCATTTGTGACAACATGTTTTTCACTTCGACTTACTGTAAGGTGACTAACCTTGTCTTTTACAGCAAATTTTGATAAAGACTCAGTGTTTGTCTAATATGTTACTAATACATTGTACATTATGAGTATTTTGGCAACTGTCATTGTTACAGAAATTTTATAAAATATCTTTATTGTCCTGTTCAGTGGTGCTGCCCCACACCTCCAGGGTGTGGGTTCACACCCCACCTCTGCTATCTGTCTGTGGCATTACATTTTCTCCCCAAACTGTGTTTTTCCTTTGGATTATCCAGTTTATTCCAGGTGTCTAAATTGCTTACAAAGTATAATTGTGTGTGTGTGCGTGTGTGTGTGTGTGTGTGTCTCCTGCCATTCCATCTAGGGTGTACCCAGTCTTGTGACCTGTGAAGTCTAGGATGGGCTAATTGAGCTTAATCAGGATAAATGCTTAGAAGATTGATTGATGGATGGATCTTTACTTTTCCTCCACTTCTGTTGTACCTGTAAAGCTTTTTCTAAAAACCTTTTTTTCTTTGTTTAGACAAGAAAGTGGTTTATTTTTCTATAACCACACACCTACAATGGTTAATACCACGATTGTCTGCCAAACATAACATTTGTATATTATAAGGTGTATATTATTAACATCAATATCAAGAAAATAAAAACATATTCTGTAAAGACAAGAAAAAAGAAGCAAAATTTTGGCTGGCTAGCATGTAGAATGTAGCTGCAAATGATCATCACTGGACTCTTGTCATGATCAGGGTGTTTTACTTATTGTGAAACGTAAAGATGCATGTTTACGTTTACGATTGTAAAGTGGGATTGTAAACAAGCCAAATTCTGGAGACTCCAAGCTTGTGGAGTTTGGATTCTCTTCTGTTGCTCTATGGACTTGCAGATGCTAGGGACTTTTATGTTTCCATTTCTCTTAATGTATTTGGGTTTTAGGGAGTTATTTCAAACATTTCCTATAGCATTTGGTAGGTACCCTGTAGCTTTTTAGACTGCTGTTCTTTTGGCCAGTGGAATGTCATTTAATTCGGTTTTTGCAAATATGTTGACTTTTATATTTCACAAAAATATCAGATGTTTGTTTCCTTAGTTTTAGTTTTGCTTAATATTAATATGACTAGTGCAGTTTGTTATATAGTAATTTGATTTTGATTGTTACAAGTAACTGTACACTGGCACATTTATATCAAACTACAACAGAGTAATCAAAGTTCTATCTTCTTCCAGTCTGAGCAGTAAAAGTAAAATGATTAACATATTTATGGACCAATCAAGACAATGAATATTTAACAACTACGTGGCATAAATACATTACACTTATTTAAAGCTTTAAAAGTTGGAACTATATATTTTGTTATATGAAATACAAAATATAATTTGTATGTAGTGATATAATATGTTGAATTAGATGTCCAAAACATTTGTTACTGAACATATGCATTGCATATTACAAAAAAAAAACAATAAAAATTCTTTAAATATCACTATGCCTGCAGATTCTTGAGTGCATGCATTAATTACATTTTACCAGAGTATAGTATGTTTTGATGCACCCTTTGCATGATTAGCTTGAGATTCACTTTGAAATAGTCAAATTTGATGTCTGTAGGCTTAATCAATGTATCAGTTTAATATATCAATCTGTTTCTTTGCAGATAATGAAACAGCTACCAAATACAAAAATAAATAAAACTACTTTGAAGAATAAAATAAAAGTACTTGGAAATAAAATGCTGGTGTTTTGTTCGATATCACTTGTTTGTGGGAAATGTTGATTTTATTTTTTACTTTTATTGTAAGGTTGGTTGATGTATATGAGGAACACCTAATACTGTTATAGATTTTACTTTAAATGTTTGAATGCGTATATGTTTTTTCCAAATGAATAAAGTTTGTTTGAAACGTAGTGTGGCTTACTTGTTTTGTTTATGCCTTCCACTGGTTTATGCCACTATGCCTAATCAATATTAAAAAATCACCCTTTTTTCTGCACTCCAAATACATGCAGGGAAATTGGTAGTACCTTCCACTAGACTTTCATTCACGAAATGCATTTCATCCACAAAATGACTTTCTTCTGTCCACGAAATGCAAAGTGCTAATATCAATTCTGTGCAGAAAATGACACATTCCTTTTGATTTCTGTGCATGAAAGACAGTGAAGTGTTTTTGCTTTTGTGGACGGAATGCAGCAAGGCATTACTTGATTTCGTCATTAAATAGTGCTTTTTGTGGCACAGAATGTATTTTGCACACGAAAATGAGCGCTTGTAAGTAGTAACTTGTATGTAGCACTTGTATATATGCACTTTTTGTTTAAATCAGCATTAAAATAATAACATAGCCAATACCCATGTAAAAATACAAAACCATATCATCTTGTAAGAATTTATTTACTGACAATACAAATAATGCCGTCACACCGTAGTTACGTTGGAAAATCCATGCATAAAGAAGAAGGAAACTGGTCTAAACTGTTGTTTCAAAAATATATAAATACAAATGCACATAGAATTAATCCTTATTGAACTGGTATTCAATAGGGGTGTAATGGTATGCAAAAATCTCAGTTCGGTATGTATCCCGATTTTGAAGTCACAGTTAGGTACGTTTTCGGTACAGCGGAAGTAAAAGAAACAAGGAAAAGTGGTTGGGAGAAGGACTTACTATCTGGCTGGAGCCCGAGTATGGCTGTTAGTGAAGCAAAGGACAGTTCAGCCATCACAAGATCTTTATAAAAAGAGATGCTGTGGATAAACAAAGTAAAAAGATTTTGGTGATGTGGTGGTACTATGAACAATTTAAAATCTACGTAATAGGCTGGTGCTGTGTACTATAAGCTCTGCCAAAAACTTGTGCCAAGTAAAACTAGAAATACTGTGAACCACTGTCATCCAGCAGAATGCAAATCCATACTGCAGGGCTGCGCATTCCTGCTTCTGGAGATATACTGCCCACAGAGCCTACAGTAGATGCAGCCCTAATTTAACACTCCTGATACTCCTGATACAGATTAGCAGGCCCTTCAGTAGCATCTCAGTGTTAGAGCCAGCTAAGAATTCTGCCTTGAAATAACGACTTGAAGTATATTGTGATAATTCGATAAAGACTGATATGAAAAAAATGTGATAACATATTTTTCCTTTTAGCCCAGCACTTACTGAGGTTGATTGTATTGCATAGTGCTCTGCAATGGACTGCCATCATTTCTGAGCTGTACCCCACCCTTGTGGCCAGTGCTACCTGGTACACCTCCCACCAGCACCTGCAGATGATGACCAGGGTAAGTGCTTGGAAGCAGTGCTTAAAGAGGGCCTGTACTCATCACTACGCAGTACCAGCACCTCTTTTTTACTCTTCAGAGTACCTGCACCACTCAATATCTGCACCTGGTACTGAAGAACAAAGGGAGTACCGGCACCTGGTACTGAAGAACAAGGGGAGCACCGACACCTGGTACTGAAGGACAAGGGGAGGACCGGCACCTGGTACTGAAGGACAAGGGGAGCACCGCCGGCACCTGGTACTGAATGACAAGGGGAGTACCGGCACCTGGTACTGAAGGACAAGGGGAGCACCGGCACCTGGTAACAAGCACTGGTTGGAAGATGGATGAAAACCATATGTTATGATCTCCAGTTGTATCATTTGCACCAATATCAGTCTTCTCCTGGTGGCTGCTGATGATCACATATCCGGGCATTTTCCTGGTAGGCCAATGGGTATGTAGGCTGCGAAAAATAATGGGGGAGTGGGGTACCCTCCCCTCTCAGCAAAATTTATTGCTAGGCAAAAATACTCATGGGAAACCCCCCCTTGCTCGGCAAAATGCATTGTCGGGGACCTCCACCCCAGTCGGCAAAATGAATCATGAATCACGCATAGCTGAACCCCAAAGTCCAGGACTGATTTTTAATTCCAGTCCAGCCCTAATTGTACGTCATCCAGAGAAGCAAGTCTGATTTGGTTACACCAGGAAGATGTCTTTATAAGGGGTACAACTGATGCGATAATGATGATCAACAGCTAAACTGTATTTTGTTTGGTGGTGTTGTTTGTGTGGCTCCAGTATTAGATTGTTTGTTCATAAAGAGTTTGTGTGTTCTACAGTACTTACCCATGTTTATATGATCAACCGCCTGTGTAGTACTTTGTATTTGTTAATGGTTTTCTGCCACCAGTTAACTGCATATTTTCACAATTCATTAATGTACCAATAAATGTTTGTATTGAAACGTCATACACTGTAACTTTCTTTTGTGCTACGGCCTTACCCTAGACTGGGTGGCAACTCATAACATGAAATTATACTTAAGTGGCTTGAAAACCTGGATACACTGTTCATGTAACAAAAAAAGAAAAAAGAAAAAGGTTAGCTTAAACCTAGCACCATTAACCATTACAATTCAATTCCAAAAATTAGGTATATTTTATTTTTTTTTAATCTGATTTACTTGCTTTAACACCATACATACACTTCCTTCTAATAACCGTCAAAGGTAACTATAAACAATAGAAAATTCCCATTTAGTGTTACAGTGACAATTTGATTTACATTCCGGGGAGCTTAACCCATCCAAGTATCCAAGTATGTCAGCATGGCATCTTCAGCAAAAGCACCTATTCGATCATATGTTTCCCCAAAAATACCTCTTCTAAATGAGTGGTACAGACTTTTCTGACAAAACAATGTCTCCAGGACAATGCCCATAGAATAGATTCAGAGATCTGAAATTTACCTTCAAAACCTATTAAAATTTGTATATAACAGTAATATATCTGTCTTACTTATATAAAATATATTAAATCTATATTTAATATGTCAGTATAAAACACTTTTAAATGTTTCTTTAATATGAATACATTTCATTTATATTATTTATTTTAATATATAATACATATCGAAATAATACTTTATTCTATGAATCTGTTTATTGTTCAAGTAATGTCTGTGCTACAGTATATTCTGCTATGTCCTGTTTTGGAAAGAAACTAGTTATGTTTAAAACTTCCAATTAATCTCATGGGAAACATAAATTCCTTATAAATTGTAATTGGTCTCTGAAGTCACTTTGACTTTTGTGTCACAGAAAGGTTTAAACACTGGGCTTGAGTTTGTACTGAATTAAACTGATATTTACATTTTCGTGTAAGTGCATTTCACATTGCAATGTAAGTTTTGGCATTAGTCCTTGCTCGTCGTGGAATCAATTCCATGCTCATCGTCTTTATCCAGGTCGATTCTACGATTTTCAAGAGTCTGTCTCATTACAAGAGAGTCCTTCCACCTAAAAAAGGAATATAAGGCTTTATGTCATAACATGTTCATCTCACAGTAAACAAACCGTTAAATAATTACATTCACAGTCACTGAATCATAAAATACAGCGTATAGGTGAAGATTGGCTTGTATGCGAGAGAGTGTACTTCATCTGCAGGTTCTGCTCCAGCAGCTGCTTCTGTAGGCGCGCTGTGGCCTCGCGCTCCTCTGTGAGCTCCCTCTGCGTGTGCCGGTGCTGTGCCTCCTTTCTACCCGCCTCTTCCTCACTGTCATTAAGCTGCCGTTTCAGGGAGCGGATCCTTTGGGCCATCTGTGATGTCGGATAAAGTCAGGTTGAACATCTACATACTGTAGAGGCCCAATCAGGGCAAACACTGCGCATCACAGAAAGGCAGATTGTTTTTAAAGAGTCAAAACCGTACATGCATAAAACACACAGCAAAAGAGAGAACCAGACCCCCTTATGAAACACAGAAATGCAGCATTGTAGTACTCCTACCAGATCTTTCTGTTCCATGGCCAGCTTGCGCTCTTCCTCTGTCTGCTCCATCAGTTCACTGACCTTTCTTTCCAGCTTCCCAATGTTGTTTGTTAGCATGCCCTTGTTCCTAAACATTTCAAGTACATATATTAAGTCACAGATAATGAAAACTGCTTTATAAAAAAGTAAAAAGTTCAAAATAGTAGTGGATTCTAATAATATTGAATTATTTTCAATTTACCAAAACAGGGAATACCATCAACATGTGGCATTTTATGTGTACAGAAAAGGGACAAAATGTTCCTTTACTGGCAAACAATGATTTATACTTTGTTTTAAACCGGAATTAACCAGCTCGAAATTCTATTGACCAGCTAGATTTTCCTCAAGGCTCAGTGTCATTGTTATCTATCTACTGTACTTAAGTGCATCGGTGTACTATGGTTTGTCATGCTGATTTTAAACCAAGTAATTTGTATCTGGGTTTTTGTTGTTTTCTGGTGTTTTGTCCTCGGTGATAATTGCTGGCATCTTGTTTCTGGCCTTGTGGTTTAGTTATCTAGTGACTGCAGCTAATGTGCTAAATGTGCAGGTTTGTTTTATGTTCATGTTGGTTCTTTAGTATTTGAATTTTATCCCCATTTTTCAGGTTCTCGTTTCTGGTTTTTCCAGTGCTCTGTCTCTTGTATAACTCAGCCAGGAACTGCTCATCCAATCTGCCGTCTCAGGTCCTGACAGTTAATGGCCTCCTGTGCTGTAATGTCCAATGGTTTCAGGGAGTTTTGCGCAGAACATTTGGCATATGTGGCATTTGGCAATCTGGTTTGGGATGTTCCAGAGGTGGGTAGTTCAGTGATAGGTAAAAACAAAATATTGGTCTGGATTTTGGACTTTCTGGCCCTGAACAGAACCTGGACTTCTGGAATATTTTCTTTTGGGTCACGCAAAAAAATGACCAAAAGTGTCATTACATTACTTGAGCTTAATATGAATGGGCTGCATAAGAAAACATTTTCACAAGACAAGTTTCAGTTTGACAAGGCGAAGCAATCTAGAAGAAAAATATTTAGAAATTGAGAAATTGTTGGCTAATGTGTGAAAAAAATCAAATTTTTTGTCGCAATTATCTACCACGGAATCCTTCATTAAAATGCTACATTTGTCATATACAACACAGTAAATCATCTCACTCTCTTTTCTATTCTGGGCTGGAGTGAGTGATCAGAAGCAGAGGAGAGTGTACAGTATGTGTTGTCATTTACAATATGTGTGACAATGTAAGTTTTCATCACGATAATCATTCATATATTACACTCACTCTATTCTGCACCCAAGTTTTTCCTCTAAATGGTGCTGGAATATTACAATGCCATGTTCAAGCAGTGTACGAGATACAGAAAAGATCATGCTAGCACCTGCATTTTATAGCCACAACTTACCTCTCCTCTGTCCGAAGGGAGTTCTCTAGATCCTTGATTTTGCTTTCAAATTTGATGATGATGTCATCTTGAACCCTGGTATTCTGAAGCTCCTGTATCTCTTTATGTAGGTCCTTGATCTATAGCACAGAGGTAACTGAATTTATTTGTTGCTAAGAAATATCAAAATGCAACATTTCAACAAAAAATGGTAAACAAATATACATGAGAATTAAAATATATGCATAAATTATACTACAAACAAGACAAAAAATTAAATATGTAACAATAGAACTGCAGTCACATAAAAAAATCATAATATGCAATTCTGTGCATCATTTTCATGGTCGTATTTTCAGTTTGTATATGCTTATAAACACAAAAGTAAATTGAAAGCTGCAAAACCCATAACAAATCCTGTTAAATAAACTGTTTAAACTAGTTTAAACTAATACATATTCATAATAAGCATAAAAAATTTCTTCTTGAAATTCTAAAAAGTTCAAAAGTTGTAGATCTTTGCAAATAAAAACCAGCACGAAAACTGAATCTAGTAATTTTAACATAGTCTCAGAAAGCTGTAATGAACTGTTGTCCCAACTGCTGTCAGGCTCTTATTTTGCAGATTAATTTTTCTGGCTAGTCTGTTGTTATTTATATGTTGTATAAATAAACATCGAATTATTCATGTGGTGTTTCATAGAACTAATAATAATAATAATAATACATGAAATATCCATTTTACCAGGGATGACCTGATTTCAAACACAGTATGAAGGTGAGACATAAATATATATTTTGATATGAGTATGTTTAGCAGTTTGAGGAAAAACCTTGTTTCTAGGACAGGAGTTTAAAATCTAGTTTGTATTATGTTATGACAAATAAATCCTTGCTTTGTGCTTGTTAAACCTTAAATACAAAATTCTGATATTCTTAAAATTGAATCCAATGAGTTTTGCAAAAGTCTGATTTAAAAAATGTCACCTCAGAATTGTTTTTATTACTTTGTCACACATAATGCTGCGTACCTCTCTTTCTAGAATGGCTTTTTCATATTCCAGCTGGTCATTAAGGTCTTTTTCCTGAATCAGCTTCATCTGAAACTGTTCTGCCTGTAAAATAAATTGACTTCCTTATTAAAAAGACAGTCAGCCTGTTCTGTTAGGTTAGTATGTAGGTCAGTGTAAAAATAATAGTATCTAGTGAAAAGTACACAGCAGTTGTTTAAAAAAACATATTCAGTGATAAAATCAAGAGTGCAAATGATTAAAATTACACAAAAATAATAGTTTGCTAAAAAAGTAAAGTACTACACAATTTATAGCTATTCATGTCACTGGATATAATCTATTTTAAAGTTTTATGAGCTGCCAGTGGTATATTTCAAAAGGTTTACTGTGTAGAAGAGAATGTAGAAGCTTAGCAAAAATCCACATTTAGAAGATTTACCTGTTCACTGGCTCTTTTGTATTTGCTGGTCGACCTCTGCTCATTGTCAAGCAGCTCTTCCAGATCACTCTCCAGATCAATGACCTTCTCCTGAGGAAGTGGTCATGGGAAATATCTTGAGATTTAAATCGATTGTCTCCCAACATTTGAGATGAACGATAAACATGAAAATTATAAATCTGTTGAATTGTACTATAAATGTCTATACTGTGCAGCAATAATATTTTATTTTTAAGATTAAATATTTATAGTGAATCAGTTTTAATTTTTGAAGAACATTTGAGTGTGCTGCTTCTAAAATATTTTGATTAATGAGTTTCTGTAATTTTAGCAGAAGAACGTATAATCATGTCTACATATTTTGGATAAAGCTGGAATGATTTGGTACCTGGGTCTGCTTCAACTGTTTCACAACTTCCTCCTTTGATTGGGCCATTGCCTCCAGCTCCATCTGCAGATCTTCTACTGTCCTCTCAGCCTGTTTGCACTGCAGTTGGATACGTTCCCGCAACTGGATCTCTTCCTCCAGAGATTTCTCTTTGTCAGTCAGCTTCTCAGCAATCTGGGTCAAACACACATACCCACTAAATGACTTACTGACTTATATATATGCAGTATGAGTCAAAAATCTGTACACATCAAGCCACCTACAAAGGAGAGTGATAGAGTGTCACATTGTATGATCTGGCCACCTGACCTAAACACAGTAGAAATGGTTTTTGGGGGAGTTTGATCAGAGAGTGAAGGAAAAATAGCCAATGAATGCTCAGTATATGTAGGACCTACTTCAGGACAGCTGGAAAATCATCCCAGGAGGCCACCTCATGAAACTGCTGAAAAGGAGTCCACTGGAAAAATTGGGGTTAAGGGCCTTGCTCAAAGCCCAGTGATGGGATTGCTCTGTCAACCCAGGGATTTGAACCGGAAACCTTCCGAGTTCCAACCCACAGAGCCCCCTCCCCAATTAATTTTATTACGTTTTAATAATAATGTTATATGCTATTTTTATTGTCTTTATAAATGTAGAGAAGGTAGTACAAATAAACCTTTCTATGGATAAGCGTGTCCAAACTTTTAACCGTGTGTGTGTAATATATATATATATATATATATATATATATATATATATATATATATATATATATATACATACACACACACACACACACACACACACACACGTGACTCAGTAATGGCCTTCTGAAGGTTTACATTTAGTTTCATGACTGATGCTTTATTTTGACCTGATGACCAGAGGCAGCACATCCAAATCATAGATGTTTCTTAATGAAACATCTCTATTGTATTCATTGTCATCTTGGGGTCACTGATATTCTTTATAGAGTCTGCTACTTTGTTGTCTCTCTCTAAAGTTAATGGTGCAATGGTTAATGTACATAATTAGTTGAGTACTTGCAGTAGCATTAGTAGTACTGTACTTGTCACCAACAGAAATTGCAGATATTTGTGTTTTATTTTATGCATTTAACAACACTTCACTTGAGGGGGCTTAAGTAACTTCGTAACTCAGTTACTACTCAAGTACAAATCATGGACAACTGCATGAAATAAATGAACTGTCATGACTGATTAAATGACAAACGAACATGGGCTCAGTACATAACACTTGGTTACTGGTGAATTAATTTGTTAAGTAAGAGTGTACGACTACACAAGTAAAGCTACCAAAAACATTCTGAGAAGGGGTCCAGGGTATAAAAAACCCTATTTTAGAACAATAACCAAAAACACAGGTGAATTTACAAGCATATTACAATAAATAATGATAAAAAGAGCAGCAGTAAATGACAATAAGAGAATATCAGACCTCCCCCTGTAGCCGCCTGACGATCTGCTGGGCCTTGTCCAGCTCCTGCGTGTTCTCCAGCAGACTCTCCTCCAGCTCCTCCACCTGCAGCTGGGCCTCATTCTTCAGCTTCTGCTGGAGGCTCAGCTCTATGGCTGACTGGCTTGCAGCTTTTAAAGCGTCTCCCAGCTGCAAGTGATTGCAATCAGACAGAGCGTTCCCTCTTCAAACAGAACATGTGACAAATTGATTCATTTTTTTTCAGTGCTCAGAAATGCACAATCTGGGACAGATTATAACCATATTAATGTAAATATTAAATACAGAACAATATAAACATGTGGGGGAAACTTCCATGACTGCCTTGTATAACTGGGGTAATCAGTTACTAAAGGTGTTATACTTGCATTATCGGAATTATACTTGATTTACATCCCTGCCAATATATGTTTTTCAAAATTTAACAAAGGAAATATTGACTTTTTAACTTTCCAGATACTATTCAGTTCAGATGACAAACATTGCCACTTGGTTCGCTTCATGCAGAGGCTGCCGTCCCTCATACCTCGGCCTCTAGGCGGAGCACCGTGTTGCTCAGCTCTGAATTCTTCTTATCACGCATCTCTTTGTCTACCCTCAGCTCCTCCACTTCCCTCTCCATATGCCAGAGCTTTTCAGATAATGTCTGGGAATGTTTCGTCTGCTTCTCCAGAGCTTCCTGCGGCACAATAAATTCCAGGCTTACACTACAACATTACTGCATACATCAACTTCACGAGGAACAATAACTCTTCAAGGAATGATAATTCTGAAGACAGGTATTTGCTTAGAATGTAATTCTAAAAATCTATAAAATTAGTATATGTAGTATATATAGACACAAAATATATACAGAATTAGTACATATAGAATATTACCTTATTATTCTATATAGTATGTATAGAATAATAATATACTATAGTCAAAAAATTGCTTGCCGTACTTCAGCATCTTCTATCTTGTTCTTCAAAGCCTGCTGCAGGAAGCCAAATGCGAATTCTTGAGTGTTGGCCTCCACCATCGCTTCTCTAGCTTCTTTCAACTCCCTCTGCACACAAAACATGAAGTATGCTTAACTTATACATACGGATACACATTCAAGCATTTTTCATTTACATTTGAGCTTTGACCACAAGGATTTTACACTATTAACAGATTATAGTATAACAAGAAGTCAAACAGTTACAAACTCTAGGGTCCAGAGCCGCAGCCCTGGAGGAACATAACTGCAGCTAGATCTGACAAAAAAAATGTAGCATTCAGCCGCAGGACCCTGGTTAGCTGATTTTGTTTTAATCAGATTATGAAAAACAGCCTTTAAAAATAAACACATAAACCACTGGTCGTTTCTCAGTTCGGTAAAAAAAAAAAAAAATAATCTGTAGGTTCTGCATTCACAGATTTAACCAAGTGCGGATTGAAAATATTAAAAATAAAATAAAACAGAAATAAAAAATTCCAGAAAGTTCCACATGAATGAAGTGATGTGTAGTTTTGGTTGTTGCTAAGTGTGTAAGTGTGTGTGTGTGTGAGACAGAGAGAAAGACAAAATGAATTAATATTTATTCTATTTATATTTTCTACTGTATATAATATGGTTGTTGTGTCTGTACTGCACAGACATTTTTGTCATTATTCCCTAAACAATATAGTATAACTAATATTTACATTGCAATTACATTGTATTAGGTATTATAAGTAATGTACAGATGATTTAAAATATACAGGACGTTGTGTGTACATTATATGCAAATACTTCAGCATTTTTTATAAGGGACTTCAGCATGCTCGAATTTTGGTATCAGCAAGGAGTTCTGGAACCATGGATACTGAGGGTTGACTGTATTGTATTTTATGTATTGTTTAATTCCATGACAGATCAGAAAATACATAATATATGTTTCACTCAAGTTGCAGCTTTCTTCAGCATACCACTTGCCGTAACCATAGTTCATGATTTTAAATGATGACACCTGTAAATGAACAGTGTACAGTATTATCCTAATTAAGTACAGTGGGATGTTGCCAATACCAATGCTGCATGGAGGCGATGTGAAAGATTAGTCTACGTTAAAGTAGGAAATTCAAACTGGATATCCATGTATTATTCATTTTGCATCATACCTCTATTAGTATTTTAGTATACTATACTATACTATACTATACTATACTATACTATACTATACTATACTATATTAGTAAGTTATCTAGATTTGGACAGCTAACGAATCAAGTCCTTAATGCACAGTCACAATTCCACAGTGAGCTAAAGTCTATCCTAGGAGATACATGCCATAAATCGGGTTGGAATTGTTGTGTCTGTGGAAGGAAATCCATGCAAACACGGGGGAAGCATGCAAACTGCAGAGAGAGCCCGAGGGGCAGGACCCAGGAAGCCACCATACCACTCCATTAACATAATGAGAAAAATCCTATAGTTCACATAGCTATGCTGAACTTCATTGGCAGACCTTTGTACATTGTAGTACATTATTTTCGGTCTGCCGTGATGTTTGCGATGTCATACCTCCTGCTGTCTTAAGCGCTCATTCAGAGCTGAAATCTCCATTTCCATTTCTGCCATATTTTCCCTCATTCGTTTCATCTCCACTTGCAGTTGGGTATTCGTCCGGAACAGGTCTTCATTGTGCACCAGCAGTCCCCTCATTTCAAAACGGATTTGGTTCCTCTCCTTATCCATCTCAATGCTCTCAGCCTCAAGGAACTGGTTTCTCTGTGAGGAGAGAAGGAACCAGGCAAGACAAAGTCATCAAGAATTCTCATACATGTGGGTTATCTATTCTGTAATGTACTGCTTGATAGAACAAGATTGCCTCTAACGTCAGATGTTCTACATTAAGGTGTTTACACGCTTGCGTAAACAAGACTATTTCGCTTTTGCTATTATTGTATAAGCAACAGCTGTAAGTTGACATGATAACATTATAACACTTTTTAGACAGCATACCTTCTGAATTTCATCAAGCTGCTTTGTGAGTTCTTCAATATAATCCCGTTTATAAGGAGCTGTTGTCTTCAGGAGATAGGGACTAGTACTGGGCTGTAAGACCAAACACACATATGAACATGGCACTGGGACACCAAAAAATATGGGTACTTTAGCGTTTTGAACGCATTTGTACGTACGTAGGTACATAGAAATTTGTTTGCAACCAACTAGGTATGTAGCTATTTGGCAAAACCTTTGAGTGTAAACCCCCCCTCAAAATTTACTTCAAGTTGTCAAAATCTAACTCACCCCCCTAACCCCACTCCCATTACAGAGGGGGTCCCCATTGATTGGCGAAATCTACAGCCCACCCCCCCACAAATTCATTTCTATTGATTCTGGTCAAAGTGTGGATGGTCTAGAGTCTATCCCAGGCAGCAAAGAGCACAAACCTGGGGTACACCCTAGATGGGACAGCAATAAGAAGTAATAAATAGTAATAAATAAAGGAGTAATAAATAGCCATTTTGTGTATACATGCATATGCAGGTCATGAGGGGGACAGTCTAGCCTGTATTCCATTCCATCGCAGAACACACATTCACACACAATAATACACCACGGGCAATGTAGAGGGACCAATTCAGCAAACTGCATATCTTTGGGACTCTGGGAGGAAGCTCAGACAAACACAGGAGGAGCACAGTTCAAAGGCTGCCAAACACTGGCAAATTAATAGCTGCCTCTAAACATTTCCCTCAGTGCCCGATTGTGTGTGTAAATGTGTTCCGCAATGCGCCTCTGGTGCTTCCTGGGATTACCGCGCCCTGGCACTGCATAAGTGGCTGTGGAAATTGGATGATTTTTATTGTTTGAATGTAACATTTAAATATATATTTTTATACTTGACAGGAAAAGTTCTCATTAGCACCAGACCTCTCGCCTTCTAGTCAAAGTGTCGTACGCAGGGAATCGGCCACGGGAGGCAGAGACTGTGGGGGAGGGCACCGGACTGACACTTCTGCTATTGTAACTAAAAACGCTGAGGTCAGATGGGGCTGGTGACATCATATCCTGGACAGCAAGGGCAGAAAATATAGAGAGAGAATCAGGAATGAAAGTGTAGTACCTCATCAAAGGAATACCTGGAATTACAGCATGATGGCGTTACTAAAGCAGAGTAGTAAACAAATCATTTCACTTATTATTCACTTATCATTAAAATATTACTTTTCAGGAATGAGATTCATAAACTATATTTCAGAAACTCACAAAATATGCATAAAGTCATAAAAATCTGACTATGAAATGTACAAAAAACATGAATAATATAATACCTTGTACTCAGCATTTCTGTAAACGTGGTCAATTGAATGAGCAGCGTAGGGGCTGTTGAACACCCTTGGTGGACTGTCAAAACCACCCACCTGAGACCAAAGAGCAAAACATTTCAAATTGTAAGCTTGCTTATGAATAATTCATCGTGTTTTACTTATATTTAAGCACCAAATTTGACCATTCTCATAACAGAAAGTTAAAGAAATCTCTGCTTAAAGTGTGGAAGCAACCTAAGAAGCTTCCAGTACACCTGCTGATACTCACCCTGTCTGACATAGTATCCCAGTCTCGGGACGCCAGGGACTCCAGGGACCCACGGTGGTTGTTAGACCCAAATCTAGAATTACTGCTCTCCCACTGGGAGCTTCTGGGCCCATTTTCATTTGTTTCATTCCTGGAAACTTTCCCAACTATATCTGAAGCAAGAAAGAGTTGGTATTTGGGGTTCTGGCTGATGTTTGCAGCTGGTGGTTCCTCTTCAGATGAAGGACTTTCAAGCTGCTTATTTGCAAAGGCTGATTCCTAAAGGATTCAATACGAGGAGAAAATGTAAATTAAAAGCATTTTCAAATAAATTAAATGTATATACAAACGATATTTGAAATAATATTTTGAATGCCCTATCCTACAAAAAGTCAACATGGCTGAATTATATCAAATAACCAACTGGAATAAAAATTGTAATTTTACTACTAGGCTTCGTCCCTTTACACTGGGATTTTTTTCAGCAATTTGTTGTTTTAGAATACTGCGGAATGCATTTTAAATGGCATATAGCATTTCATGCCGTTTTTATTTTCAAGGTGCTCATTTGTCTGAATATGAGCAATCCGTGAGATCTCCGCTTATACTGCTCAGTTAATAGAATGTTAATAGAATACAATTTGGATGTAGCCATATTATCACATACTTGCATTATAGAAATCCGTGCATATAGCGACTACAATGAGGAAAAAAAACCCTGCAGTTATAAGCAACACGTTTGCTTCTATTTGACAGGTCATGTTAATTAAATTTGATGCAGTTTTAATTTTTTTGGACAACCATGTTTTGGGAACCTGCCAGATCATTTCCAGGTTTAACAAGCAACTCTGTGTTAAAACTTGTAAACAAGTAACAGAGAGAAACGCCATAGGCATTAATTGTTTCTCTCTCATTCCCACGATGTTATGACTATTTCGACTAACAAAGCATCACCAAGTGATTTTCATTGAGCAAGTGTAGATAATATATACTGGGGATATGGGAAGGTTACAAACTGAAAGGTATGTCCTTGTATTAATAGAGAAAAAAATAAATAAATGCATGTGATCGTTACCATGCCATTCTCCTGTTTGTGGTCCCTACTCATCTTGTCTGACACTTTATTTGGGAAGCTCTCATGGTGCTGTGTCTCCTGGTACCTTTGTCCATCGTCACCCAACATTTCCTGTAGAGCAAAAAGGCTTCTTCCTCAAATTTTAGCTGGTCCACTACTGGATATACACTCCTGTATCTTCTGCCGCACCCTTAACCCTGTGTTGATGAGGAGGCAAGGCAAATTTAGTAAATCTGGTCTTTTCCATGAACAATGTAATAATCAATGTCGTCGGCCACAGAAACTCTGTACTCTAACTGAAGCAGCCACCGAGAGAGAAAGCCTCCCTCTCTCTTATACGACCCCCCCTTGGTGGCCCCCGTGCCCCGGTTCATGGTCGTACAGTCGCCCCACCATCAGTGGTGGGTTTGTTTTTTCTAGGGCCCCAATCAAGTCACTTTATCCCCCCTCCCCAGATGTTCTGATACTCCACCACTGCCCTCCTAGAGAGACCCCCAAGAACAGCAACAACAGCACGGAACTATATACAATAAAAGTAACCAGGATGCAACAACATGCACAGACATTCAACATATGAAATTAGGAAAATCATGTACAAGCGTAAGAGACGCTGCACAGAAGCTTAGTCTCTCCTTACTATGTTCTTCTGATCCTTTTATAACAACTGAAATAAAAGTAAAAATGAAGCTTAAGCACACATTTCTTAGCTTAGTTTAGTTTAGTTACATTCTTTCAGGTTTTACTTGGAATATAGCCTGTGGTCAGGGGACAATCTGACGGCTGGGGATTTTCACCTTCCCCCTGAATTATTGGTGTCGATTCGTTTTGCTCCTAGTAACCAGGTAACAGTCTAGACCAGGGATGGGCAGTCTTATCCAGAAAGGCTGTCGCGTATGCAGGTCTCCTCTGCAGCTCCCTAACTAGATTACTAATCTGAGGACTGATTGGCTGAGGAGTCCTCACACCTGGGTTTGAACGACTGACCTAAAGGTTACCACAAAAGCCTGCATACAGACTGGCCCTTTGTGGATAAGCCTGCCCCTACTGCCCCCCCCCCCCCCCCCGGTCTAGACACCTCCCCACAGACCTGCATCTACCCTGCTTCTGTTTTTTTGGTTCCTGTTATGCACATCCAGACTTGTTTTATTTTACTTTATTCTTTTTGCCATTCAAAACTGTCCATTATTTTCCGTCATTACCGTCTGCATCCTAATGCGAGGTGATTGTGTTGCATTGCAATATGAATGCTCCTGAATGCTTCTGTTTTGGGTGTTTTCCATGCTGCTATTTATTTCTAACGCATCATCGGGTTACAGAAATATGCCATGACATAATCCTTACTTGCCATTTTCTGAAGTATTATTATATTATGTATCTTCTCGCTGTTAGTCTATGCTATCCCTGTGACTAACAGAGTTAAACAGTTTCTTGAAGCGTCTCTTCTTGAATAACCTGCTGAACATGGTCCACATGCTCCAGCAAGTACACTTCACTTCGCAGATATCAAGGTTTCTGTTTGCAGCCAAGTCATAACACTAGACCCAAAGTGCAGCAAGCTCATACAGTGTATATGTACAATGAGAAGAGACTGTGGTGGGTGTGGCAGCCACATACTTTGCATGTAAGCAACAGAACAAGATGCAATAAATGCTTAAATTTCTTTAGGTTGTTCATGAAAATAAAAGACATTTTTTTCAAAGACCTGAACATATGGTACATTTACCACACCTAGTATAAAATATCTTTATTATAAAATTGTTTCATTATATGGTCTTAGGCTATTTTTTTTACCATCTTTAGTAAATTGCTGGAGCATTCAGCGGTGCAGAGGCTACCGTATTAACGACAGCATCCGAGACAGAGTTCATTAACACAATAGCTGCATCAGGTATTCACCTTTTACATAGTCCTCAGAAATTCTGAACAATAAACACATGTATTCATTATGGCAACAACATGTCACGCCATTCCCTGAAGTGTCAATCGTTGGCGGTACAGCCAGGTGACAAACAAGGTTTGTGCTGTATTAATATACAGGACTGTTTGGTTTGTGTAATTTTTCTTAGTGGTATCAGACTTTACCTATAAATAAACCGTGAGATAATTCATTCATAAGTCATTACTATATTAAGACACTGTTAAATGTAGCAAAAAATCCATGCTCCATGTTAAAGTATATTAAAGTACTGTCAATGGTAAAGAAATGTGTATTAAAACAAACTGCAATATGATACTACATACTGTAAAAAGCAGCCTACATTTACAAAGCAACACATAAGCGCGATTACTGTAAATACCCCACCCAAACTTTACCAATTTACGAAATGTTCAGAAAGGCCGAAATACAGATATAGTCACAGTTTGTACAACCAAACAAGAACAAGCAAGATGTACTTAACTTTTTCCAATTTTGGAATGCACTTGCAATGCATTAAACGTGTATAAACCTGTTGCCTGAAGACTCATGCAAGTTTATGAGTCATTGTGAAAGACATAAAATCAACACAAACTTACCGTAAGTAGATTCTCGTAAATTCGCATTGTTCCCATGACTTTATAAGTGGAAGCTATTTCACTCTGAATAAGGGGCTTTCACTCCTGGGAGCTTGGGCACGTATTTTGTTAAAAAGTCAAAAACAGTTATAATACATAATCTACTGTCACGTTTTGGGCATCACGAGTCTTCCCTAAATAACCTAAATAACTGATAACCTAAATAACAACTGAGATGTCACATTTAAGATCACAAGTTTCAAATTTACGCATATACTTTTTAGTGAATTATTCTATGAGAGATTTTTTAACGGGACTACATCTAAGGGTACTCTTGGTATACTAAATACATTTTTTAAGATGTACTTGTTCTACAGTGCACAGACTTGTATAACATACAGCCTGAAAACATGGGAAAAGCTCAAACTGAATTGCTTCGGGCCATGACTTGCCAGTAACATGTCATGTGGGAACAACCCCTTTCGTGTAAGCGTTCACACATTCCAGGATCACATTCTTCAGACATAGAAATGTCAGATTTTCTGAGAATGTCCTTTATTACATTGAGTATGAGCATTTCTAAAGAACAGGTTAATAGAAAACATGATGATGTTGGGTATGCACACTCCAGGGTTTTCATCTGATGTTTTTTGAAAGTATGAACCTTAAAAGCTAATTAGTTAGTAGAATAAGATAGATGAGCATAACTCAGAAAACCATTATTAAACTTTGTACTCCTTGGAATTGGAAGAAAGAGCAAATGAAACCTTCCAATTACTCTCTATATGACGTCAATTTAAAAATGTTGCAATTCAATGACATAAATAATCTACTTTTTTGTTTTCTATTGGCTATAACAATTTATTATTTATTTTTAAAGCTTTTCTTTATTTTTATTATTATTATTATTATTGTCTGAAATTGCAAAGGCTGATTTCTGTTTGATTCTATTTAATCAAACCGTTTATTGCATTTGTTGTTCTATATCGAAGTATTGAGATTGAAATGGGATTCCTATCCAAAATAATAAATATATATAGTATTCGGCTGAAGTCCAGCTACATAACCTACCACTGGTTCACCACTTCGGTTTCATGCCTTGGGTGTTTTCTTGAGACGATTTTTGGTTACTGAGAACTATATTGATTCTTTTTAGTGATAAACTAACAATTTTGAAAGTATCTCATTACACAAAAATAGAGTATAATAAAATGATATCATTTAATTATATATGGAATTACAGCAATTATGAAACTGTATCCTGCTGTTACCCTTATCTGCCCGTCCAGTGCAGGGTGTCAGTGAGCCTGGAGCCCCTCCCAGGAGACAGAGGGCACAAAGCAGGGCACAGCTGGCATCGGATGCACACACTTTTGCACAATTTAGAGACACGAGCTCACCAAAACCAAAACGTCCACATGGGCCTGGGACATGGTACATTTCACACAGGAACAGACAGGTTGGGAACCGAACCCACAATACCTGTGATATGAGGCTGCAGTGCGTGTTACCAGTGCCACACAGCCACCCCAACCACATGTAATTTCTGTTAATATATTAACTTAAAAATTATAACATGATATGCAACACTAAACACTGCTCATTTAGGCTTTAAAACAGAACTGTACAGTATATCAGTTTGCACATGGCACGATGACGACAGAGTACTAAGGTGAGTCCTTAATTGTTTAATGTGACTCAAGTGAAAGAGGGTTGTAGAGTAGAATGCACCAGATGTTATTAAATGTATTACAGTTAAATATAAGAAATGCTGTCAATTGCGTTCCAGGCATAAGCATTATCAAACAAAATGATATTTTCTGAGATACATACAGTAGAGCTACATCAGTGGCACCTTGCTAGGTAAAATATTTCATACTAAACAATGTGATGTGGCTCTGGACAAGGCAACATGACACAATGGGTCTGTTTAAGTAAACTGTTACCCAGCCAATAGTAGTCTTTCATTTAAACTAAATAAAACAGGCAATTTGTGGGCCAAAAGAAAGCTTTCAAAAGAAAGCTTAATTTGGCCTGTAAATATTACTTGTATTTAAAAAAAAATAAAATACCCTGTATCCCCCAAGTTTTTGATTTGACATTATTCATGTAAATTCCTGAATCAACAATATTTCCCTAATGCAGTCCACCTTCCCATTACGTACTTTACTTTTATTAAAAACAGGAAATTATTAGGGGTCCAAGCAGCGTAGGTGCAGGATTCCTATTGTTTTTTTAAACAAAATATCTGGGGAATTGCATATTTTTAGTCAAAATAGCACCGTAATGAAATTCACATTTTATGCAAAAATGTAACGCTGTCTTGATTTTTTATACAGACGCACTTTTGTGTTGATAATACAACAAAACAGATTTACTAATGTAAGGAAGAGTATGGACCACTGGTAAGGATGCAGAAAATAATAAATAAAAAGTAAATTCGTAAGCAAAATTAATATATAATGTAATTTAACAGTATAATAAAAAAGAGCTCGAAAAACGTTATGGCTATGAATATTATGCAATACTCCCAAATAAACTGCAACGCAATATTAAATAGCTATAAGTAAATAAATAAGTAAAAAATATCCAGCTTTATGCAGCAAGTCAGTCTCTTTTGGTTTTGAACTATATGAATTAACAAGGCAACATAAAATTACATCTGTATTGCAATGAAAACAGCCATTTTTCAGCTATATGCACAAAGGAAAAAAACTGAACTAGCATGCTCTTTTGCCAGTGTTAATTGCTGAATTTCTTGCCAAAGGGTTATTGGTAAGCTGGATTTCTACGACCTACGGCAGCACAGAATTTTACAGTCTTTAGCCTATTCATATCAGTGATCTAAGATATTTAAAACCATTTCAGGATCCCTCTGATATGTCGGTTGTGAGATTGCACTGTTTCTTATTACCTTTTCTCTGCTGAATGGAAAGTGACTCCTCAGCTGTAAGGAAGACCGTCTCTCAGAGAAGCAGTGAGGCAGATCTGCGGACAAGAGTCAGAGGAGAATAAACAACCAGTTTTTCTAGTCACCTCAACCAAAAGGAAACACCTAGTTTTCATCACACAGGTGTGTACAGAAAAGCAAATGTCTTTGCAACATATCAGCTGGAAACATTTAAATATCAGTGTTATTCCTCTTTTGGTTCCTTTGCTGTAAGTATTCTTGTATGGAGCATTTAAGATACAAAGCTTTTTCTACTGCTAAAGTCAAAATGTTTCACACATGATTGCTAATGTTTGAGAATAAAATTACCTTTGAGGGGCAGGTGTCACAAACATCCAAGAGTGGAAATCACATGATTGTGAAGCAAGAGCAACATTGCAATTTCTGTTCACCCTGTCAGATGCACTTTGGTGTGTTTAGTTAGGTGTATTATTGCTACACGGATCAGCTCAGGCTGTGAGTTCACCAGTAAGAATGGCATGCAGGCTGGGTGTGGAAATGCTGGGTTGGGCCGTGGTTTCACACGTTGGCTGAAGGCCAGAGCTTGCATTTTTTTTCCACAGGTCGGACAACACCCTGTTTTATTCCTGACTGAAACATGACAGCACTAAGCAGTCCAGGATTGCAGAGTCATTGCAAAACTGATGTCTGCCCAGTTTATCCCCTTGGTGACGCTAAGTCTATCAGTGTAGTGCTTCCCACCTCCATGAGAAGGAATCTGTGTGCAATTATATAAATAATTCTGTATGACATATTGATAACTAGCAATACTGTACATTTTCAAAAAGTAACATTTTAAAAAGGGAAATAAACGTTAGTCTGCATTAAACTTTGGTTTAGGTGTTTTTTTTTAATACCACATCTCCATATTTACAATTTTAACTATATATGTTACTGTGTGCCACTGTTTTAAATTAAAATCATTAAAGAGATTGGATCAGGTTTTGTAAAAAATGTAAAACCAGTGCCAAAGTGATAAATATAACCAGTTACACCCCCATTGTAATTTAAATGCCCATATATGCACCTTAAATTTATAGATTTTATTACAATGAAGAACTCTGGATAGTACCATCCAACTCGTACAGCCATAGATTACAATACTGCCTACTAATAATGTTCCATCAAAGCAAAAACATACCATACATACATTTTTCTTTAAATGATTTTCATTAAATGATTCATTACTTTCATTTGCCTTCCAGATTTAATAAAGGTAAAGAAACTGAAGCTGTCAATCCTTAAAAACACCCTAAAGCTAAAAGTGTATGTACCTCTGTTTACAAGTTAGAAATAAAAATAAGTGAAATTAACTTTATTTCACAAGAGAATCATGCTTGAGATCAATGTTATTTTATGTGTAATGTTAATTTCTTAATTTTTATTTTTACTACATTTAATCTAATTTAAAATGTATGTTTTACTTTTTAATGAAAGGAATATATGTTAATCCTAGCTGAAGAATGTCGTCAATTTGTTACGTAGCTGCATTAGATTCATGCATTAAGATTCCACGCCACCTGTCTATGTGACTCACACCATAGAACCACAATTCATGCACATCATAGTTATCCTAATAGTTCACACCATTTGACAATATGGAATGGAACAAAAAACATCCTACAACATGTATCCTATTACCTCAATTAATTCTGTTTGCGTGAGTCATTTGGGTAAAATTCAGACAGACAGTTGCCCTTTTTTCTTTTGTCACTGCCCAGTAAGATATGAGCATCACCTTGCTCACCTCCCCGCCCTTTACGTCACTGCTTAGAGCCTGAAGGCAAATTTCTTTGGCTGTCTACCATCCAACACATTAGGAATCTCACTATTTATATATGCAGCATAAGCAGACCTTGGAGACTGTAGTTACATAGAAAGTGGCATCAAGTGCCATTTAAGCTAGTTAAAATCAAAAAGTATATGCATTTTCTAAATATATCACTTTTATTATTGGCTTATTTATTATTTAGAATACAGACTAACTAACTTAAGATTACTTTGGGCCATAAGAGTTACTTGAAACTACTTGAGTTGTTTAAAGCAACTGAGAGATACGGTAGCCGATTAGAGTCAACGTGCTACAAATTACATGCTACAGTATAACCTGATTAAGTTTTTCACATGTGTTTTTAATGACCCGATTACAGAGCAAGTCATGCAAATGCAGTAATCGGATTATTAAAAACACACGTAAGCACCTTACTCGGGCTATCACATGTAAACATAGTCAGATAACAAAAAAAGGGATAGATGTTACTTTGTCACTTGGGAAACTGCATGTCCCTCATCTCTTTGTATGGTCCGTAGGACTTACCGATATGGACCAAAAACCATATTTTGGTATTTTTAGGCAGGGTAGTGATACACAATATTTTCTATGAAGTGTGCTAAATGTTCGGTGTTAATCAAAACCACATTAGATACACTATATGGACAAAAGTATTAGAACACAATGTCATTACTCCTGCAATGAACTTTTATGACACTCCATTCTAAATCCATAGGCATCAATATGGAGTTGGTCCCCCCTTTGCAGCTATAACAGCTGCCAATCTTCTGGGAAGGCTTTCCAGAACATTATGGAGTGTGTCTGTGGGCCCTGTGCATTCCAGTCAGGTTCTTCCACACCAAACTCACCCAACCATGGGCTCTATTTTGACAATCTAATTCAAAGCATGAAGGGCAAAGCAAAACTAACAGTTATGGGCGTGTCCTGATCCATTTTGCTATTTTGATGGCGGAGAAACCAGACTTTGCACTAGTGCAAGGTGGGAAAAGGTTCTCCTAACTCTCTTAATTATTCAGAGGCGTGTTTTGGGCTTGACATGCGATTAACTAATCAGGGGTGGCTTTCCCGAAAGCGATTGATCTTACTGAATAACAGACAAGATAAAGAACCACGTAGGTAAAGAAAGAGTGAGGTCTATGTGCATTTCCCAAAACCCTTCGTTATTATAGAATTAACTAACAAACTTTAAGTAGTACTTTATTGGCTCCTCTCCAGCCTTCGTGTGAGAAAATCCCAGACTATCGATAACAGGAAAATCGATTTCAATGGTGAAATATGTCATATGATTATCACACCAGACATATGCAGATGTAAAAAAATAAACTAATTAGAAAATCAATAAAAAGACACCAAAGCAACCAAAATTAAGAGCAAAATAAATGAACCTATTTACTGAAAAATATAAGCATCATGTGGACTCCCAGGTCATTCGGTGACAATGTCTGTAAAATATCCTTGATGGTTGCATATAACATGGACATGTAGGCCTAGTGCCAAGAACCCTTTTCAACAGATGCAGGTAGGATTCAAGGGCTGCAAATATGAAGAGGGTTGAGCATTCCATCTACTGCACCTGCAATGCTAGGTATGCCTGCAATGGCATGAAAACCAATTTCAGTGTTATGCAAGGCATCCTCCCCTGCTGGACATTGTATTTAGTTGTTCTCACAGTGCATCAGAAATGTGATCAATGCACAGATGCAGGACACAGCAGCCTTGCTGATGCCATATGCATCTGTAGGTGTGCAGGAATCCCCCAGTGGCGTAGAAGCAGAGAGCTGTCAGAAGCTGCACGGTGCACAGGGCGGAAAAATTCCAGTGTGTCTTTAGTTTATCCTGCACCAGACCAAGGAGGCTCATTATGTCACCCCAGGCCAGCCTGTATCTCTCTATGAATTGTGCATTAATGAGATGGTCCAAGGGGTTCATGGCCACCTGTAAAAGCGACTTGGCTTCCTGGATGACGCTGTCTCAAACACTGTCTTCTGTTGACTTGCACAATTCTCTGCCATTGCTGGTTGTGAGGGGTGATTCACCTTCCCAGTTCAAAAGATGTGACTTCTTTCAATTAAATTAATTTCAATTCAACACAGTCATACAACACACGGATGTCATTTAATCTAGTAAAATATACATAATTATATAACAGATATACTTCCAAGATGGTAGATGTATATATTGACCTTATATATGTACTAATGAGTAAACTTTATATTTTTATGATTGTAACATAAAAATTGTAAGCCCTCTAAGTCTTTTTCCATGTTCATATATTTATTGTTTTTGCATGTTTATATGTGCTACCATTTGTGAGGAGTCTGCAGTAGCTATTCCCGTGAGTGTCCGTGGGTTGTCATATGGACAGGACTGTGATAGGGTTACTAGTATGACTGTATGAAGTGCACTTTCACCATGGTACACAAAATCACTGTGAAATTACCTATTCTATAGGTGACACTTCAAATGTGGCATTCATTATGAATAAGAGCGACAGACAGCACAGACTTTTCAGGCAGGTGCCGTAGATATTTGTCATCGCGTGGTGGGGGGTCTGGGTGGGATTCAGTGTATGCTGGGTAATTCATATTCAAATATCAAGATGCATGGTCATAGCTGCACTTACACTATGTATCTGAATTGATGTGAAATTAATTCCATTTTAATTCTACTTCCTTATATTCAAAGTCTAATTGTGATTTGCAATGTTTTTAAGATAAGACTTTATTAATCCCACAATGGGGAAATTCTTTATGAATTGATTTATGAATTGAGTTTGATTTTCAAGGTCATTCTCAAGTCAGTTCTGAGTGGTTCAATCAATTAATCAATCAATCAATCAATCAATCCCTGTTCTGAGAGACAGGGGAGAACGAGAGGGGCTGGTAGGCAGGAAATCACAGGCAGCTCACCGGCAGCTCTTTATTAATCTGAAGGCTCTCAAGTTGACCTCCCCTGACAGCCGGTTTGATACTGCATGCCAGTCACAGGAAATATTTTTGTTTCACCCGTCATTGACTGGTGGTTTCTCCAATTGTTAGGCAGCCAGAATACTGTCAGCCTTAGTTAAGATAGCTTGCTTCATTTTCTTACCTTTTTAGTTGTGTATATATGATGATGCATACAATCCGAACCCTTTTTTTCCAGCTTGCCGGATGGTTTTCAAGATTCATAGTTTTATTGTTGCATGTACAAAGTACAGGGTACAAAGTCCAGTGAAATTCTTACTTGAATGCCTTTCCACTGACTACAGACAATTAACAGGACAGTGCAATGGTACACTGCAATAATATACTAAGCATGAAATACTATCTAGAAAGAGAGATATGGCAGCATATCTAAATCATAATACGTTCAACATGAGATAGTAAAGTGATATTGATATTAAGCAAATAGGAACATGAACAGGCACAGTGGGTAGAATATAGAGAATTCTGGAGCAGTATTACAGAATTAATAAAATTTAATAATATTTACAAATTTATAATAAAAAAATATACAGATCTATATACACATATACATTGTGTATCTATATATATTATATATACTGTGTAAATATTAGGGTTGTAAAAAATCATGTGTTAATCGTTGTGATTTAAAATATGAATTAAAACAATGCGATTAACTATGTCATTGAGCAGTGCATTATAGGTCAACCATATAAACCACATAAATGA